TGGTATTTTACATATGTTATGAATAGCATGGTGATTTTAACCATAGTTTGGTATGGTTCATGTTTACCCTCTGGTAAACATACAAAAAAAATATGGAAAATCACCATTTTTAATGGGTAAATCCACTATTTCTATGGCCATTTCCAATAGCTATTTTGACATAACCAGAGGGTACCAGGTGTACCATTTTCTCAGCAATCCATTGGAATCTCAGGCCAGGGATGGTGACCCTCACCTGGATGTCCATGAATCTGGTGGGGCCGCCATTGTTTCGCAATTTTTTCCGCTGTTTTTCAGTGCCTGGGGATGGATAGGGTTAGTATCACTATGTATCACTTATATTATGTTATATAGCGTTAGATAGATATGCATAGGGTTAGATGTGGATAGGGTATATCAATGTATATCATATAATATCTCCTCGTTTCTTGTGACAATTTAAGTGACACTTGGGGAGAACGAAACTCGAAACTCATCGATTTCATTGACGAATATGGGGACCAACCCACTGTCAGAAACTCATAAACTGTTTACCATCCCCAGTCATGGTAGGTTTATATATATATATATATTATATAGGTTTATGGCATCCAGGCTTTCCCACATTTAACCAGAACTTGAATGACATTTATTTCAAATCAGCCCTAATTTGGCCGCAATTCCTCATGGTTCAAGCTCTGGGGTAACTTTCCACTTGGTTCGGTGGATCTCAAGCACGGTAGCCAAGGGAAAAATCATCGTTTTCCATGCCTAGGCCACCAAAGATTGTGACCGAATCATGGCAGGCTCATTTTGCTGCAGTAATTTAGCAACTCAAGATGGTGATTGTTTATTGATATTCATTGATATTTGTTGATATTCATTGAGAGATAGATAGATATATATATATACTCTGATATTCCTGGATATTTATTAATATATTCACTGATATTATAATATTATCACATATGATCACATATGATCATATCATATCATATCATGTCCCATCATCAGAATCCTATCCAATCATCTTTGCTTCATCCTTGGCTGCAAGGATTCATTCCTGAAGTCTGTCTGGGAATCTCTCGCCCAATTGGAGCAGTTGGGTTGGCCCAGCTATGGGAATTTCCTATCGTGATGAACTAGGGTTTCAGGGTAAACATAGAAAACAAAGTTGAAAGACAGGGAAAAACAATGGTTTCCCTAGGAAAATGATTTGTAAATTGCAAATGACAAAGCCGTCTCCTTTTTTCCCTAAATTGAGGAATTTCGTTGCGGGAGAGCACATCTGGAAAGTCGTCTCTTTTCTTCTTTCCGCAAGCTGAATGCAGGATTTTTCAGCATCCATGTTTTTTGATTGAAATTACCCTCTGGTAATTTGTTGCATAGCTATTGAAAATGACCATAGAAATAGTGGATTTTCCCATTGATAGCATGGGTGATTTTCCAGTTCGCAAAATGTTAGTTTACCAGAGGGTATATAACATGCAGCGCTTTTTCTAGCGGACCTGAGGATGTCACAGTGCTACCTAGATGTACTGAGGATGCTGTTTTTTTTTGGTTGGGACACATATTTTGAACATTTTTAGGTGAGTCATTTATCAAAGGAAGTTTAGGAGTCTATACTTCTGTGTTACCTAGTTTTGACAGCATTGAAATCAAAAGTCACTGCAAAGAACAGCCACTGAAGACTTGATGCAAAGAACAGTCACTGCAAAGAACGGTCACTGTAAAGAATACCATCTGCTTATTTAACAGTTCGCCATGGAAAGATCCACCATGCTATTAAGTTCGGTAAACCATCTATTTCGATTAGGGCCATGGATTTTCCATGGCGAACTGTTAGTCATAACCAGGTTGGGTAGCCACCTGTGTTCACATGGGGGAATCGGGCACTATGGGACTGCGACGCGGAGGAGCACGGAGGGGGATGACGTTGGAACATCTGGCCCAGCTGCCTGGGAATTTCCTAGCGTGATGAAGATACCCGAGGGATCCCAAGGGTAAACATACCAAAAAATGTGGAAAAACCATGGAAAAACCTAGGAAAATGATCTATACATGATTGATTTTCCACCTCGAACTGTGAGTTTTTTTCCCCAGGCTACAAATGTTTGATGTTTTTTAATGGCTACCTTGCCCTTTTGCTGCAACCAACTAGTGAAGTAGAAATTCATCGACAAATTGCTTGATAGTACTTGATGGTGAAGCTAAATGATTGCAAATACTATGCCCACTAGGCTACTATGCCAAAGCTGAGCAATCAATCCCTTCATTTTCCTGCGGGCTTCACATGGGCTTCACTTTTTCACAACGGATTCTCGTTCCCAGGCTGGTTTGCGGTGTGAATGATATCATGGAAAGCTTGGCAGCGACCCCAACCGTCTGGGAAGAGCGTGCTTTTGAGTTTGCATCAATGAATATATCAGTTAGACATAGATATAAACATAGATGTACTGTGTAAAAATGTCGATTATTCTAGGTTTTCCTAGGTTTTCCTTGGGGAAAGATGACATACTTTTTATCAATGAACGATCTCCGATCGTTTCGGCAACGCAGCTGGCAGCTGGTCCAAGTTGGGATGATCTGCCCGTGTGGCTACAAAAAAACATGGAAAATCACCATGTTCAATAAGTAAATCATATAATATCATATAATAATAATGATAATGATGATAATAATTGTACATATATATATATATATAAATATAATTATATAGCGTTTTCCATAGCTATGCTAAATTACCAGAGGGTAAGCATCTATTTATATAAAAGGGCCCTGGTGAGATGTTACCGAACGTGTTCAGCTTCAGCTAAGAGTTGGTTTCACACTGTCCAAATTTCTGCTTGCCATTTCTGTCTCAAGCTGTAATTCAGTCAGGGGCTCTTTGATTTCCAGTCCGCTGTGCACTATCCCCGTCTTTTTTTCTTCAGAATTCCAATGTTCAGATTTTCAGCACAAAAAAAGCCAGCCATCAACCCGAAGGGAGAAGGGACTCAGCTGAAAGTTCTCCCGGACCGGCCGTGCTCCCGTACCGGCCATTCGGCCATATTCGGCCATTCGGCCATGGGCCAAGCTCAGATCAAATCAGCTCTGCACATCGATAGAAGCTTGGTGATCAGCTTGTCATGAAATATGGGCCGGAAAAATATGGAGGGAAAAATGAGGAAAAATCCAGAGATAGGGGACGCACTGATGTTGTTAGATGTTTGTTCTTGTACTTTTCAATTTGAATCAGTTGAATGATTTGAATCATTCCATTTTGGGCGAGTTTCAGCGTGAAGAATGCACTTTCGGATGGTTTCCAGCATGAATTATCGACATGCTGGGTGATCTTGAGTATGACCCATGGCACTTCGAGGGTTTTTCAGAATTCAAAGGGCTGTTTCCAAAGCTTGCCATTTTTGTGTTGATATTTTTCTACAGTGGTTTGAACCTGCGGAAAACCCACGAACCACAGTTGTGTTATGCCAAGTCTGAAAGAAAAGCCCCCTCTCAAGCAACAGCAATTCTCTTCAAATGCGCCCATACTTTTGTTGGAGTTCCTTCATCCACAGGATGCCTTCTCTTGGCACATCCATGGCACGCCTGCCTTCCAGGAAAGACACCTAAAAAGGACCGAGTGGACAGGCGAATTTGTTGCAACATGCCGCATTTTCCATCGCATATCATATTTTCCCCACCTGAAACCAGGTGAAAACGGGCGATTTCACCAATCAACAATCATATAAGCTACCCATGTTGCCTCCCAACACCCCAGTATGTGCTATCAGTCAGGCGACTTGACGCGATGCACTTGACCTCAAAAGTGCATTTTTTCGGTATGGGTCAAAATGTGCCCGGCCACAGATGTTCGAATCGAAAAAAAACATGATTACTGATTGGTGGTTTGGAACATGATTTTTTTTCTCCATATATTGGGAATTTCATCATCCCAACTGACTTTCACTCAGATTTTTCAGAGGGGTAGATATACCAACCAGATTAAACTGGTAAATCCATTTAGGTAAAAACAACATCAAATTGACCTTTCAACTCTTGGGGGTTTCAATCAAATTGAACATCCAATTTATGGTAAAAGAACCACAAATGCCCCATCGCTTCCCTTAGTTTTCCCCGGGTTTTTCCCTGGTGATGTTGGCTATTTTCCGCAGGGAAGATGAAGGCCCGGAAGGCTTGGCTCTAGTAACCAACCGAGCAGCGCAACGAAGTGGAAGGCATGGCCGTGTTTTCTGCCATTGGACATGGCGTGGTTGGCTGAAACTCTGATCTGGTTGGTGGTTTCAAACATGACTTTTATTTTCCAGTTCATATACGGGATAATCCTTCCTATTGACTTTCATATTTTTCAAGATGGTTAAAACCACCAACCAGTGATAATCCAATGGTATTTCCGGGACATTTTCTGGGATTTTCTGCATATGTCTGGTGATGTTTGGCGTTTTTTTTTGCAATTTTTGGTTGTTATTGTTTATTTGGACCTTGGAATCCAAGTTGATTCCAATGCTAGCTGTAGCAGCTATACTGGAACATGATATTTTGGTATATTTTTTTATATGTACCTGATTTTGGATGTACCTGTAGGATCCTGTAGGGCTCAGGGAAATTGACAGTTGCCAGGCTAAGCCCTGGTCATCATATTTGCCATGGTCGATGGACAATTGGTACCCATACTTGGGGATGGTCATCGATCCATTGTCGATTTGTGCAATTTCCATTTCTACACTCAAAGAAATGTATAGAACAATTGCACAAATCCCTATACAAATCCTATATGAATCTGAAAAATGGTGTAGAAAAATTGAACTAAACATAAATGTATATGAATCATAGAAAATGTATAGTAGCATTCCAATGGTATTTCCAGGATGGATCACCTTAAAAATCATCGTTATATGATTCATATGCCATGAATCTATGCCATCGTCACGCCATCGTGGCACACCCCAGGAGATCCCATGAACTTCGAATCACCAGCCAGGCTGAACATCACAGGTCGCTACCACCGGCTTCCAAAGCGGATGACGGATGACTACGAGAGCCTGCCGCAGGCTGGGACCGACATGGACCGAGCGATGGTCAGACATGGTGGTCACCTGGTGGTCGCAGGCAGCACTGCCGGTTTTAACATTGAAACCTCGTAGCGAAAAAAACCCTATGGCCACCATGAACACTTGAGTTTTTTTTTGGGGGGGCATATGGAGATTTGACAAAACATGGTCGATTACCGGATTTTGGGGGTGCCCAGTTGATGGTATATTTCGATACATGGCCATCAGACCTAGGAGATGAAGCATCCTCAGGGCAGAGTTGCTTATGACATGGCAGTTTTTTTTCCATGTCCTGAGTTAATATATGTGTATACTGTGTATATATATATATATAACGTATCACATCACATATAATAATATTTAATATATATATATAATATATATATATATATGTGTGTGTGTGTTAATATGTGATCCAAAAGTGTTTTCCCAATTTTTCTTTTCGGGCTCAAGTTCTAGGGTCCTAGACTCTTTTTCTATGAATATGATTGTTTTCCTCTTATTTTTCAATCTCGAGAGAAAACTTTTCGGCCAAAAAAGGCTTCGGATGGCTTGAAAAGCCATGAGCGCCTTTGAATGTCCGTTCTGTTTCCCACATCTTTGGAGGATTGCCCTCTGGTAAACTAAGATTTAGCTATGGAAAATCACCATTTTCAATGGGAAAATCCACTATAAATGGTCATTTTCAATAGCTATGTTAGTTTACCCACTATTTCTATGGTCATTTTCAATAGCTTTTTGTATGTTTACCAGAGGGTACCAGCCCTGCAATTGGCGCCTTTTCCAACCACCATAGAGGTCCCCTTTTCCCTTTCAGCCGCTGGTGATTTCGACAGGTCCTTGGCACGGGCTACAATGGCGAGGTGGGTTTGAACATTTTTCCCATGGGCTTTTCAACCACCCAAGTTTAGCAACATATATAAGTAATATATATAATATATATAATATAATAATAATATATAAATAATATATAATAATATAGTATATATATAATATAGTATATAGTATATATAATATAATAGAATAGAATAGAATATAATATAATATTCTAATATAATATAATATAATATAGTATATATAATATAATATATATATAATATTCTAATATAATATAATATAATATAGTATATAGAATATAATATATATAATTTTCTAATATAATATAATATAATATAGTATATAATATATATATATATCACATATTAAACATTAAACTCTAGCAAAAAAACTGGAAACATTAAAGTTAAGTCATGTTACGTCTATGTTTGTTGATGGTTTCCCTTTTGCTAGAGCATCCCATTTTTTTAAACGAATAGCCACCTGCGGCCATGGCTTTTCGGGGTTGAACCAGTTGAACCCCCATGTGCAGGTCAAACTTGCCAGATGTAGGCACACCGGGGTCACTTGGACCGCAGTCTATCGCTGTGTTTTCTTTGCGAGGCTGCTCCACACCATCCGCCATAAGAGTTAGTCAAGCGACATACGCATTGGAAAAAAATGATCATCCACTAAGAAAAACGTGATTTTTAGATCATCTACTGGAAAAACCACAGGTTTCAATGAAAACGGTCCTTGGTGTCCCTCCATCAGAGGCGAAATTCGCGGTGAAAGCTTTCAAGCTTCGCGGTGTCAGCAAAGAGAAGAGAAAAGAACTGGAGAGCGAAGCGGCAACTCGGACCTGACAGTTGGTCTCTGCATGTTTTCTGCATAAAAGGTGGGAACCCCCAGGTAGCTAAGTTACTAAGTTGGTCAGGGTTTATAATCGATATAATCTATAGCCATCTATAGCCTATAGGGTTAGGGTTATTGTAAAGTATCATAAGCCAGCTTATAAACTAGGGGGCTTCATCGTGTATTTTCCGTTCATGTTTTGGAACCCCAAATCACCACAGCCACAGTTTTTCACGCATCACTGCGAGGGACTAACTATGGTGGATGGTTGCGAAATCCTGCACCAAAAGGATGGTTGAAAGCCTCTAAATAATGGGATAAGCCACCTATCAACCAGTGCAGGATTTCGCAACCATCCGCAGTGCCTAGATCGGGTTAAGATGGGTTAAGTTGATGTTCATAACACCAGTTGGTGAAAACAATGGCGACAAATTTCAGTTTTCCCAACCAAAATCCAAGACCTAGGCCGGAAATCCAGATGTTCATAGATTTTCCCAGTAAAACCCATCCAATCGCATCCTAAACTTCCGGTAAAACCAAAAACCACTCCCAAACTTCATAGTTCATGTCAAAAACCCATGGTTTCTGGCTAAGACGCCTGAGATGTTCCGGATATTTTTTCACGCCCCAGATTTTCCCATATATTTTTCCACATGTTCCGTATTTTTCCGACATTCGCCCAGGTTTTCCCATATGTTTTTCCTATATGTTCAACATTGATTCAACCATCTCTTCCTGGGATCAGATCATTTTCCCTGCCCAAAATCCGCTTGAAACCAGGAGATTTTTTTGGCCATGGACCATCCGCATGTGGCCTCCCTGACGGATGTCTATGAGTCGGAGGAACAGCTCTATCTGGTGATGGTGGCCTGGATGGTGCAAGGTGGTGTTTTCCCCCCAATAAAATGTGAACGTTGGTTGATAAGATTTGATAAGCCATGAAAAAAATCATGGGTAAGTATAGATATATCTGGATATATCTGCCATAGGCCTGGTGATTTTCCATCGTTTTTTGTATGTTTACCAGAGGGTATGTTGCTGTGAAATTGCTGGCCTCGGGAAAGCCAATGCTATAAAGATCTACTGTATAAAAGCTACCGTTTAATTGAATTTGATTTGTGCACCCATTTATTCTTATTACGTTTGTTGACAACCGTTATTGTTATTATTCTTACCATTACTATAGTACTATTATAATATAATATATTATTACCATGAATGCCATTAGTTTGCTTTTGTTGTCACTGCTATGATTGTGAGTGTTATTGTTGCAACCATATTATTATTATCATTATTATTGTGATGATCATTTATAAACACCATTAGCTATATCGTGCTGGACGCAGACGGGGTACCATCTGGCAATCAACCATGGCTAGTTTGAAAACCGGGAAAAACAAACTGGTGTTGGTGCCTGGGAAAATCATTGAACTATCGCTGGTGGATTTTCCAACAAACCATGTTTGATGACAGGGTAAGTTGGTTTGTAAACCCCATAGTCTATAGATATCTATAGATATCTATAGATATCTATAGATATCTATAGGCTATAGATATCTATAATATAGATATCTCTAGATATATCTGATTATCTGGGTAAATTATAGTGACCTCACTTTGACCGAGCCCTGGAATCATGGTTGAAAAACATCGGGAATCCGCCATGGCTGGCATTTTTTTTTATGTTTGAATAACAACTGAGCTGTGAATCTAGGTCTCCCACCTTATGAAGTCCTGGTTTGGTTGAGTTAGAGATCTGTTATTTTTCCATAGGTTAGTCCAGAAAGGGGTGGAATCTTGGGGGAATCTGGAAATATCTCCAGTAGGGGATGTTAGGGACGAGATCTTGGGATTGAGGGATTCTTGATGAGGAATATCTTCCAGTAAACACACATATCCAGACGAACATAGATACGGAAAACCCACGAGGTAGATGATGTAGATCATCATTTGGGAAAACCATGGAGTTCCATATGTGGTATTGTCATGTAATACTGGCATATCGAGAACCTGGAGACATGTTGGCATTGTAGCCTACACTGAACGTGCAGTTTCTTTTGTTTGGTAATAGATCTAGTGAATGTAGCGACGATTGTATGTCTTATACTATTGCCTGATACTTGTAATAGGGGGCCGCAACATTTGGCCTTCGTTGGGGAGTTTAAACGTCACTGGAAATGCTAGTTCACAAATTGGAGCTCATGCAACAATACTAGCGGTGTAACATTCAGGGAACCAGAACGAAAAAAAATATCTTACAAACGTACGCGTGGATCTGATTGTTCATTAAATGCTCTTCATAGCTTCTAGTACTGCAAGTGGTTTGTTTTCCTCAGATTGGTGATTCAGCACAGCTCGACAAGCTGAGATTCTTTATGATTCGTCCATCAAAACTGAGTTTCCACCGCATTTTTCCATATTTTTCCCCACCCAAAATGGGGACGTAAGTTTTTCCCACGGCGTAAGGTTCGACCTATGGCCGGACCTGGGACCGTTTCGGGTTTTTTTCCACCATGGAACTCATGAAGATGAATGAAATCGGCTGAGGAATGCATGCAAGGTGGCGAGCTCTTTGATAGATACTTGGCAGTGAACGGATTGGAGATATGGTTATCATATGTTATCATCAACAGAAAAAGTAAAAGACATTGATATGATTGATATTGTTTACATAATTTGGTCCATTATATGCGCAAATTGATATGAAATATGATTGGATAATTATTGCAGTTCTACCTGATAAAGCCATTTTCATAAGAAGACACATGAGCAAAAATTGTGCATGTTCGTTGGCTAAGGAGTTGTGCAAAGAAAGCGGTTCACCGAAAAAGATGCTGCCAAAGCCATATATCAGGCAGGTTCGGTTGGATTGCTCTCTAGTTATTTAACGCTTTGCCATGGAAAATCACCATTTTATAAGGCAGATCATCATCATCATCATCATCAATAATCATCTATAAATGGACTGTTTTCCATAGCTATTTTGAATAACCAGCAGGTCTTCATCGTTGTCGATTGACTTCTTTTCTTCTAATGCCGAGAGTGAATTAACGGAATGTTTACAAGACACCTTGTTATTTGGATGCTAGAAGTCACGACTTTTGTCAAATGAGCTCAAGCAACGTGAAGGTGTTGGGTGGCACCCCACTGAATCTGCAAATGTACCCATTTCTCTAAGGGTGAGTGTTGAAATAGCATTTGGCTCCATTTGGAGCCATTTTTTGATTTTTGATATTATTGGGCTTAAATCCTATATCCTATTTGATCCTCCCATTAGTTGATGGTTGGATATCCCATTGATACCCATTTTCACTGGTCAGTTCTGTTTTTTTGGGCACAACTTTTTGTCGAACTTGAAACTTTCTAAATCTCATTGGATTGGTTTAAGGGAAAATCTACAGGAAAACCCCATATTTGGTGGGAAAAACCGTGGTTTCCTGTAGATTCGTAGATGTTCCCTTTTTTACCAAGCCAGTGTCTAAATCTCCTGCGCCAGATGCTGTTAGCAGTGAACTACATCCATTCCCACGATATTGCGCCTTGGATGCCTTGGGTTTTGCATCATTTGCATCGTTGGATGGGTCTCAGGAGATCCCCAGATGAAACTCTGAGAATTTCACCTGAAAAGCGACTGAAATGGGGAAGCACTGGGGGTGTCTTCACAGCTGGCCATGGCTTGCTGGAAATCACCCATTTTCATGAAGAAATTCACCTTTTGATGAGGGGATCACTTTCGAGAATCAGTGTTTTGCTACTGAAACTCCTTGTCCTTGGTATTGTATTGAGGAAACATTTTTTGCGGTTTCAAACGATTCTTATTTAGCTATGGTATAGATGGCCCCTTTATAGATGATTTTCCCATTAAAACCTCCATTTATAAGGGATGTTCCAGTTCGCTATGTTAAATAACCAGATGGTAAGTTTAGTAAATTTACTACTAGATTACTAGATCTATGCACTTTGCGGAGCGCTAATGATTGTGATTTTTTTGGTGAACGGGGGAAGGGATATTTTAGATGATGCAGCCCCCGCTTTGTCAAATGGCTAGGTGCACCGAGACATCAAGTTGGAGAATTTTCTCTATGAAGCGAAGGCGGATGGCACCAGAATTTTTCGATGTTTCTTGGGGTCTGAGATGGGGTCTGAGGCACTTCAGAATGTGAATGTTTAAATTTTGGGAATTGGGGCTTGCACCAGCATCACATTGTGATAGGTATAGATATAGAATTAGATATAGATGTAGAGATAGACATGGATGGATGGATGGATGAATGGATGAATGGATGGATGGATGGATGGATGGATAGATAGATAGATAGATATAAAATAACTATATTCAACTAGCCTTTTATATTTGGCTGTTGCGTCTTGACAAGACGAGTTTATTATTTTTACCATCTTTCCCAGAAACGTGACGATCCCCAAGTGCGGAAGGGGACCCCCGATTCAACATAACCATCATCAATTCGTGTGCTGTGGATTTCAGATGAATTCAGTCTTGTTCATGGTATGTTTCATCGCATTTCATGGTATTCTTGGTGTTTTTCTCATCGTTTTTCCATGGTATAAATCATGATTTTTGGCATGTTTTCTTCACGCATGAATCGTGGCACGGAATTCATGGCATCCATCATGACTTTTTCGCCAAAAAATCCCCATCATCTTCAATGACCGCAGGACTCGGATCATTTGAAGCTGATTGATTTTGGGTTCAGACGCTTGGCACGAAAAAACAGCTGGCTGCTGGCTGCTGACAGATTTTTTTGGAGGATTTTGCTGGGGAAACTTTGGGAAATCGTGGAGCATCTCCACTTGGAATGGGGGAAATCGTGGAGGAAACATGGAAAATCTCAACTTTGAATGGACAATCTCTACTTTGAATGGGAAAGACATTGGAAACACATTGGATCATGGGAAATCTGGGATGATCATGTGTACTTGAAGTCTATGAAGGGTAGAACTTAATTATGGTTATCCGCTGAGTTATTGGGGCCAGAACAAGGAATGCGATCATGTTACAATTTATAGCTAAGAACCATGTATAGTGAGGGGCTCGCCGGCAAGAAAGGATACATTTCTACTTTCGAACGAGGGTTGCAAGCGATCTACACCCCCCTGTTTTGTGTTCTTCTTCTCAAGATCCCAGACTTTGTTTAAAAAAACACCTACAGGAAACCTTACTATAGCGGACTACCACTTCGAATATTGTTTATTATTCAATTTCTCAGGATATGAACATTAAATCATTAATTCAATTCATCATCTTTCAACAAGCATGCTGGGGAACCATGAGATGTATACTATACGGCCCGCCCAGTACCTCAAAACATACATGTATTAGTATAAATTGGCATCTCCTATGTTTATTTTCAATTCTATGTGTATTTTTCGTATTCAATGTGACTAATGATAATTATTTGAATTGCCTGTCAGAGGTATCTATTTTTTAACTGTCTATATAATTCCTAAATCTTGATTTTCCATATTCTAAGTGCTAGTCCGTCACTGCAATATTCTTGTCTGGTTAGTGGTTTGGAACATGAATTTTAATTTTCCATATATTGGGAATGTCATCATCCCAACTGACGAACTCATTTTTCAGAGGGGTAGGTCAACCACCAACCAGTTGTGGTAATACGGTAAGACCATGGCTCCTGATGTTTTGGGAAACGATGGAGTCCAGTGACCGTGCATTCCTATGACAATCCCCTGGCCCTACTGTTGATGGTGTATCCGATAGGCTTTTTCCCATCATGTATAATCCAACATGGCATGGCATACCCTCTGGTAAATAAACATAGACTTTGAAAATAACCCATTTTGAATGGAAACTAATCTTCCAACCCCGATGACTGGCAGGGTCGAACTTTTAATTTGTAGGGTAAATCATGATGAATTCTCAAAAAAAAACCGAAATGTTGTGGTAACAACCCTTGGGTTTTCTGTGGAAAAACATGGCTTTTCTGTGGAAATCAGCATTTTTCAGGTTTTTCATGGGTCCAAAAAGCCCAGCAGATCAGCAGCATTTGAGGCAAAATCTGGCAGCCGAATACCACCATGGCTGTGAGCTGCGGAACGTTGGCCTACGTGGCCCCTGAGGCCGCCTTGGGGGGCCAATTTTTCCAGGGGAAATTCATGGCTGGTGACCTGGTGCTGACTGGAACATTTGGATGTGGGTCAAAATGGAAGACCTAGGGGACCACAGATGTTAGGCTAGTTTAGTGTTCACCATCCAATTATTGGGGTACCTAGTTTTGAAATGGGTTGAACCATGTTGAAATCAATGGATTGGTTTAAGGGAAATTTTACAGGAAAGCCCCATATAAAAAATGGGAAAATCGATGGTTTCCGGTTAAGATTTTCCCCAACAAACCAATCCATTGATTGGAACATGACTGGAACCATGGAATTTGATGACTTTCCAGAAACAGTTGGGAATGTCAGAATGGAATAATAATCCCAACTGACTAATGACTAATATTATTTGCATTGCTGTTGGGAATTTCATACTCCCAACTGACTCATATTTTTCAGAGGGGTTGAAACCACCCACCAGATGGTGTGTTCATGGGATAAGCTGATTGTTTTTCCTCCGGTCATCAAAGGCAATGGGAAATCCCCAAACTAAAACGGATGGTTTTGTTGCGAACATATTCTATAAAGGGGGGCTTTACTATAGGTTGAACGGGTTGCGTACTGCCAGTAGATATCAATATGATGGGAGTATATTTGGAATATATTGGGAACATATGAGGATTGATAGATGTGTTTGATACTAGTTGGTTTAGTATGGGTTGGATATGGGTTAATATGGGAGAATAAAGCTGCCAATGATGATAGAGTCTGATAGAGGTTTATGAAAAGCTCCATTCATAGGGGTTGATGGTGGTACCTCCCATGAGCTTCAACCCAAGATTCAGCATATGAACCAGCACGAAAATAGGGATATTCGCTTGTTTATAAGATTTGAACATACAAGCTACAGAACAAGAAAGGGTTAACACCTTTAAAATAAGCTCTCACGGGTCATTCAACATATTCCACAAAACAAAGTTCTTTCTGAGATGCTGGTTGTGATGGTTTCAAGTGAGCCATTATCCCCATCTCATTGTACTGGTTGCGTTTGGTTTCCCAAACAAATGGGCTTATCATGGGTTTATCATGGTTTATCAGAATCCCACGTAGCTTAGGTAGTGTAAGTCCAGATATTACCCTCTGGTTATGTCAAAATAGCTATTGAAAATGGCCATTTATAGTGGATTTTCCCATCAAAAATGGTGATTTTCCATAGTTATGTTAGTTTACCGGAGGGTAAACTTAGGTAGTGTAAGTCCAGATATTAACCAATCAAGTGAAACAAACATGTTTCCGAGCTTTTCGGAGAAATTCCGCTTGCGCGGGACTTTATTCAACCAGGTGCTGGATAAGTCCTACACCTCTCAGTGTGGCTGGGCAATTTTTTTGAAATCGTTGGGCCTCAGTGATATTCTTATCATTGTTGATTGTTATTGTTTATAAACTTTATACTGTATATGTGTGCATGTATATATATATATGTATATGGACGTATATGGGTTTATTTGTGCGTATGTATAACATGTATGCATATATTTATTTCGTTATTCACAATTTATTTCTCATCATTTCCGCTTGCTAAGAAAGTGGTTTTTTTTGCCAGGTGTTCCGCTGATCATTTTGCAGGGTTGATCTGAAACCTTGAGGATGTCCTGCAATCAGCACTGAATTTCCCTGGATCGTTTGGCCATATCCAGTGACATCATTTTGATGACCCCATAGTTGAGGCAAATCAATAATCTTTAGGAAACCATGGATTTGCATAGGAATTCCAGCAGCTTCTCATTTGGTTTATGTTTTTTTTAGGACATGTCATGACATATCTCGATTTTAGGGTGTCTTCAACAAGACTATACTCATCAAGTATACAATGGCAGATGGATCTGCATGGCCTGCACATGAAACATCTTGGAAGCCAAGAAAAGACCTCCATCTGATGGGAATGGGGTATGGGCTTTGGAGCAAAACAGCAGGATATCACTGATATCACTGCAGCCTTAACCCCCAAGTTGATGAGCTGATGGATGGTTAGCCGTTTCAACACCCTGAAAATGCAATGCATTGAGATGGAAGAAATGGTTCAGAACAGTAGCGAAAGCATCAGACAGATCCACGAGCCATGTAAAAATGAATTGACGTCCCCATTTTTCCTTGAGAGTATCTAGCGGGCCGCTTAGAGATTCAAGATGAATTCTTCTCATTGATGATTCAATCCAACATAATCCAATAATCCAATACAATCCAATAATTTTATCCAATATAAAGAGATAATTCATGGCAAACCCAACATAATCCAAGAAATCTTTCCCAAAATCCCTAAAAATACCCCCAGATTTCAGAGATCTATCAGAGATCTTTACCTTTGCTGCCCATCATCCCCCTATGAATTTGATCCAAGGCGACCTTTGGAGTCTGGGAGTGGTGGCATTCGTGCTCCTTTTTGGCACCTCGGCCGAAGGGGGGGATGGATGGTCACCAGGTAAGCCAAGGAAACTCCAAGTTGAGGCTTCCCAAATTGGCCAGGGAAACTCTATGAACAAAAAACGAAATCAAGATTCCAGATTTTTATAGCCATAATCAGGGAAACTCTGGCCAAAATCAGATGAATCATGGCTGCCAGAGTTTCTTGGAGTCCTGGGCGAAACAATCCAAGCGTGTCTCCTGCAACCACAGCGACTCATGTGGTGGTATCATCTCAACTGCGATGTGGATCAATGTGATGAATATCTGTTTGGGATTGGCGGCTTAATATGGTAATGCCATAAACCATCATAAACCTACCATTTGGGGATGGTTTACCACCCATTTATGGTTGAGGATGGTATATGACATTGCTTTTGCCACCATAAACCTGTTGAGTCTCCATCACTCATGGTGTCATATGCTGTCCACTGAGACAGCATTCAGGCTATATGCCCTTCTCGGGTGCCGAATCCAAACAGATCCGAGACATCAAGGCCCAAGGGATCCCCCGAGATGTAAATCAGCCAATCAGCCGGGGACATGCCACGTTTTTTTGTTGTTGCCATTGTCAGAGATGTTTGAAAAAAAGCACGGCAGGATGGAAACTTCACCAAGAAACCCGTCCGGAGTCTAAGAAACTCTGGGCATCATGCGATGGCGGAACCTGGTTCGTCCATATTTTTGGTCCAAAAAGTGGCGGTGAAGCCCTTGAACGACCTCTGGAAACACCATCCATTTGGAGTCAAAAAGAGGCTGAAGCCAACCCCCAAAAACCCCCCAAGGGAGAAGAGATTTCTGAGGCCATTTGGGGCAAAGCCTCGGAAAATTGCAAGGACTCAGGGGCTCCAGGGGTTGAGGATTCGGTGTTTCGATGTGGAAACAGGGTCAAGCTGCGTGTGATGGGAAGATCCGCGAAGACCAACTGTTTTTTTGTGCCATCTCCAGGTGCAAAAACCAGGAAACATGAAAAACTGCTTGGTGGTGACTGGAACCATGGAATGTATTATGACTTTCCATATATTGGGAATGGAATAATCATCCCAACTGACTTTCACTCCATCATTTTTCAGAGGGGTAGGCGAAAAACCACCAACCAGAAAACATCTGCCATTCAAGTCACCAAAAAACATCCAAACAACGTAACAACGTGATTTCGATCTCCAATGAATCAGTGAATCGGAATGAATCGGAAGATTTTTTCTGACGCCAGGACTTCGTACAGAGCTTGTTGGTCGTTGATCCCAAGAAGAGGATGTCAGCCTCTGAGGTGCGACAAGTTTCAGATGTTTCCCACTAGCTAGGACATGGAAAATCACCATTTTTGAATATGTTTGATGGGATTTATGGGCAAGTATGGTGGTATAGTATTAACATCAGGTGGTACAGTCTCCATTTATGACATGGTTTAAGAACCATCACCATTTTTAATGGGTAAACCAACTATTTCTATGGCCATTTTCAATAGCTAGAGGGTAAATACTGAGTAATGCGGGTGAAACAAGGTCATAAACCACCCACGACTGGGAATATCTGGGAATGGAACACATACCACCTATAAAAATGGTGATGGCTGGGGGATGGTTTATGAAATTGTTTTACCTACCAGGGGATTTTCCAAGAGTTACCCGTTGTCTCCAACTTGATCCAGCTTGTTGCATTTTTCCATGAGCATATGGAGGTTTCCAATCCATGGGGGTAGCCCCTAAATCATCCATTTTAATAGGATTTTCCATGAAATAAACCATCCAGAAAATCGGACCATTGATGGACACCCCCATATTTGAAATCAAAGAATTGCCATTGATTCATCAGCTACTGTGGTTCTTCCGCATAAAAAAAAACACACACACATTTGGATCGTTAGGATCCTGACCTTTGGCCTTCTCTGGATGATAGATGATCATTCGATTTATCATTTGGTAAACTAAGATAACTATGGAAAGATCCACAATTTTTTGATGGGTAAATCATTGGTAAATCCACGAACTAAATGGGCGATTTTCAGTATAGGCTTTTGTATGTTTACCAGAGGGTATCTAGTGACTTCACAAAAATGGATGGATTTTGGTATCATCGTGCCATGAACCAAACCAGGCCTTGGAACATCGATGGCTGCGAGCTCAAGATCATCATGTGACTCGGCGCCGAAATTTTGGCGAACGTTGACCTGGATTTTCTGGCAAATTGGGGCCCGAAAAAACATATTTTAACCATATATGCCATATATCTTGACCATATGTCAACCACATTTTAAGCATATTTTAACCCAACCACATGTTGGATTTGGGGATCTTCATGATGCACTTGGATGAGTTTCTTGGCATTGAACCAAATTTCTACCTTTTGTTGATCAAAAAATCTTAATGTGAATGCATCTTACTATATATATATACAGTATATATATATATCATATAATTATATGTATATATATATGCATGTGCCAGTGGATCTTCAATAGACTTCAGACTTGAAGTTTTTTTCCAAAGATTTTGATGGTTGCCACTGGGGCACCATTTTTATGGCAGTTTCGACATCTCAGGAACAAGTGATCGACCAGGGCATGATAGAAGATCTCTGCAACTTTGCGAAGGCTCGATCGATCCCTCCATAGGTTTTGGATGGCCATGGGAGGAATGATTTCTCCAAAACAAAGATGCATGTGGCGCTTTCTTTTTTTTAAACCATTTTTTGTTGGCAAAAAAAATGGACAATTATTAGCCTCCCCTAAGATCAACGAGACCCATGGAAAGATCAAGAAGGAGACCAAATCTTCACCGTGCTTCACAGGTGTCTGTCTTTCGCCGTGCCTGTCTGGGTGTTCTTTCCTGGTCCCTTGGGGTAGAAGAACGCAAGCAGGCGGCAATTTGCGGGGTGGATGGTGAATGACATCCAACATGGGGATGATGATGATGATGATGATGATGATGAAGTGCTAACAACCAGAAATATCTGGGAAGAATAGCACATGGGGCTGAGAGAGGTACTAGGATCCCAGCTTGAAGAGGATCGCAATGCGGGAAACCCTAGTCAGCTGCACGCGCTATTTTTTTACAAATACAGTTGGGTAGAGTCGTGCACTTTTGGCTTGGGGTGACGTGTCCCAACTTCACACACACACACACGCATATATATATATATAGATGATAAAAATAATATATATATATATATGTATATATGTGTGTGATATATTATGCATATACTGTATATGTAAAGTATATATGTATAGCATGACTGCAACACATTTTCTCCGCAATTTCCCCTTCAAGATGACCTGGACCCCTGAAGATAGCAGGTGCGTGATGCCTTTCTGCAGATTGATAAAGATCGGAGTGGCACCATCACCATCAACGAGTGCCCCGGGAGGGTCCTGGGGAGGGTCCAGTTGGGCTGGTAGATTAAGCAATGGGGCATTCAGACATATTCAGAAAGGATCAAAATATGTCAAAATACTTCACCTTAGTTTTCCATTTTAGTTTGAATGGTGGGTGAATTGTCAAAATGAATATGTCAAAATAAGCCCATCTTAGTTTGAATGGTGGGTGAAAGATCCATTTTCGGGGGACTTTTGATGGTACTGAAGGGGCCTTAGGGGTGGCCATGGCTGGCTTCGGTGCAGCCCATATTTACCATCTGGTTATTTAACATAGCCATGGAAAATCACCATTTTTAGTAGGTAAAATAGGTAAAACCATCTATTTCTATGGGCCATCTATACCATGGCGAACTGTTAGTCATAACCAGAGGGTAGTTCCATCAGTCACTGTCAGATTGACCTCAAAAAGGGACTCCAACATGAAGAGATCCAATCGCTAGATGGTTTTACCTATTAAAAATTGTGATTTTCCATGGCTATGTTAAACAACCAGATGGTAACCCTTTTATTCCGTGTCGTTCTGTTTTTTTAATGATTACTAGGGACCAATGGAAACAACAAAAACAACAAAACATCAAGGATAATTCAAAGTTTGGCTTGCCATCCACAGCAAGCCCCCAGCCCATAGCTTTGCAATCCTGGGACTGAAAACCCCAGTCCACCCCTATAAGGTGGTGATCCCAGTTCGGAATCGCTAAGTTGGTGAACATAAAACTCCAATGTCACTATGGTTTTTGTTGGTGATACAGGAACCGACAGAATTATGGAAAAAAAAATGTTTCAATTTACAGGCGCCGCCTGTCTATGATAGAAAAGTTACGAACCTTTTTTTTTTCCATAATTATTTTTTCCATAATTATTTTTTTTTCCATAATTCTGTCGGTGACTGTATGTCCATCGATTCGCAATTTGAATGCATTTTAAGGGGGAATATTGAATTATAGAAAATATGTGTCTAAAGATCTGGTATATGCCCCTAAGTCTTCCATTGATATACATAATATCATGTGATGTTCGCAATTTGAATGCATTTTAAGGGGGGAATATTGAATTAGAGAAAATATGTGTCTAAAGATCTGGTATATGCCCCTAAGTCTTCATACTTGCATTTGGATACATATTTCCATAACCCCCCAAAAAAAGGGGTTTGAATTGTGGATCCATGACATGTCCAACAGGTGGAGCCCCAAACATTAATTATGGAAACAATAATTATGGAAAAAATAATTATGGAAAAACATAATTATGGAAAAACCGGTCAATCTGCCCTAGCCCCCTGATTTTACAGGAAAAATCAATTATGGAAATAATGGTCACCTCCAAGAATTATGGAAAAAAAAAGGTTCGGATCACTTCCGGGATATTTTGAACCCTTATGGGGAAAAACCTAATTATGGAAAAATCGGACGCAGGCGCCGCCTGTCTAAGTTGAACGTTTTTTTTTCCATAATTCTGTCGGTGACCATATATCTATATCTATCTATATATATATATACCTATAACGAATGGTTTATAAGTTATATATATATATATATCTATAGTGAATGGGATTTATAAACCAATTTATAGCGTTTTGGGGGTACCACCTTGCAAGGTTTAAACAAGCCGTGGAAGCCAACTTGGAGATTGACGATGAAACTTTGGAGCGCCGCGACTGAAGATGTGTTTTTTCGATTTTGGCACAGGGGAGAAAAAACGTACCAGAACCAACGGAGACCTGAAGAAATCCACCAAAATCGAGCGGTATACATCGTTATCAAGCGTGCCTACTAATAGCGTATAAACACTACTAACAGCATATAAAAGGTTACTAATTGCGTACAGAGCTATACTAATAGCGTCGTATAAATCTATATCAATCTATGGACCATCTATATCAGTCCAAGGGATGACTGCTAGGTCCATGAGAATGAAGAAAATCACAAAGATGACCATCCCATGAAATTCCATGGTAAAACTCAGGCTAGTTGCAACATGTTGCAACAGTTTTTTGCAACAGCGTCAATCTGCCCAATCTACCCAGCCCGGCCGCTGACTTCCAAAGACGTTTAGGAGATGTTCAGCTCCAAAAAAAGCCCCTTTTTGGGGGCTAAACTGAAGAACCATCACATACTTTTTCTGTTGAAATGCCGATGTTTTTGATGTTGCAAAGGACATATTAACAGAAAAAACAGCACAGGTGGCACAGGTTGGTTTTCCTGTTGACTCCATGGTCCGAGGAAAGCCTTCCGAGCGTTGGATGCCAATCACAAGGCATGGATTCTGGATCTGATTCCCTAGGGTTTCTACATACCAAACAGATGTGGAAAAGCCACCCTGAATGTAGATCATGAATTCCGAACGGGAAGCCTATGTATGATTTTCCACATCTTCACTGGATTGGTTTAAGGGAAAATTTACAGGAAAACCCCATATTTGATGGGAAAATCGATGGTTTCCTGTAGATTTTCCCTTAAACCAATCCAGTGACATCTAGATCAACGTTTACCCTAGGGCGGTATCCTTTGGCAATCTGGCCATTTTCAATGAGTGAATCATCTAGGAATCGATTGGACCTCGATGATTCCCGATGTATCATTTCTGGATAACACATCCCATGAGATTTAACCCAAGATTATCAACAGGGCGCTGGAAGCTTGTTGCTTGCTCTTGGAGCTATCAATTTGTTGGGTTTTTTACCTGGTCACTTTCAGGATGAAGTGAACTACCACGAGTTCCTGGCAGCCATGGCAACTTGGTCGAAACGAGACCTGGGAGATGGGTGATGGACTCTGGACCTTTTGGTGGCCTGGATGGGAAATCATATGGAAAATCCATAAATCCAAAATCCAAAATCCTGGGATCATCATCATATCCTATGAATTCCCTATGAAATCATATGATTTTCCAATCATGATTTTCCATATGATTTTCCAATCATCCAGTCATCCAGTCATCCAACATTAGGAAAATCGATGAACATCATCGAATCATCGGACAAAAAACCCAGAACAGAACAAGTAATTAAAGGGTGTCTGAAATTCAAGCGTGGAAAATTCATCACCCAGACTGGTTTAACAAAAAACTCAGGTTTCAATGGATTGGTTTAAGGGAAAATCTACAGGAAACCATAGATTTTCCCATTAAATATGGGGTTTTCCTGTAAATTTTCCCTTAAACCAATCCAGTGAAGGTTTGGTTTCTGATCTAACCAGGACTTCCAGTCCATCCCGTGCTGCACGCAACTTCATATGACGGGGGGAATAGCTTGGTGCTGATCTTCCTACATCGATGCCGTGGATATCTGCTGACATCTGCTGACATTGGGGATGTTGATGGAATTTTGGACTGGTCAACTACCCTCTGGTAAATTAACACAGCTATTGAAAATCATCATTTTTAATAGGTAAATCAACTATAAATGGCCATGTCCAAGCCATTTCCAGTAGCTTTGTTAAATCACCAGAGGGTATTGGACTTTGCGGCCTTTCATCATATTTCACCTTTCATCGCCATGTGAGTTTCCGACTCACGAGATGTTGAAACATTTCTCGACCAAACAGGCCACGGCCCATGGTTGAGGATGGCCACGGGAAAATCCTCCCTTTTCATTGACAAGAATCATCTCAGTTTCTATTCTGTTTCTCCATGACACTGAAAAAATGCCGCAGTGTCATGCACCTAAGATTCCCTTCGACATCAAATCACAAAAAACTTGACAAAACAAAATACACATACAGTTTTTTTTTGGGGGGGCGGGTGGGTCCCAAAATCAAACGAGCAGTGTTGAAAAGCCTGTTGTCCCTTCATATTGCTGGTTCATAGATGTTCATAGGGTCGGATTATGATAATCCATGACAATCCCCTAATAGCCTATACAATCCTATACATCAATATACTTGTTAAACAATAATCACATAATCACAAGATAGATCGCAGCTGAATTTTTCGCCAGGTTTCATCGCGGATTGCGCTTCACGACCACCTTTTAAAGGCCGGTTGTGTCAACGGTGACCTGAGATGATCATAGCGAAGCCGCATGGAAATCATGGTCAAAGACCTGGTCGAAATGGGAAGAAAAAATCCATGGGTCAATCCTCGAAGTACCAGAGGGTACCCTCTGGTAAACATACAAAAAATTATGGAAAATCACTATTTTTAATGGGAAAATCCATTATAAATGGCAATTTTCAATAGCTATGTTAAATTACCAGAGGGTAAGTACCGAAGAATTGCAGATATTTGCAGATTTCAATAACCAGAGTGGTAACGATGAAGCCTACAAATGGCCATACCAATGCAGATCAGATCAGTCAAATGATTAGGTTAGTATGGTTAGTGATTCGTATTCCGAATTTGGGATCTGTTTATTTGATGAAAAAAATATTAAATCCATCATTTTGGTCGATGATGTCCCATGTTGGTTGCTTAACATCCCTAAAGCCCATCCCCGTACTATTAAACACACCCTAAATGGTCCCAATTATGTAGAAATTCCCTACTAAACCATGGTTTCTCTATTTTTTTAAATCAGAAAAATATCAGGGGGATGGGATTATATATATTTCACCTCTTCTTCCCGAAGTTTTTTTTAACATAGATGAATTCTGGAACCGGTGGCAAAACAGTTGGCTTTCCGTCGCTTTGATGTGGACAACTCCGGCACCATCACGGTTCTTGGGACCAGTGGCAGTTAGAGAATGGGCAGCAGTGGCAGTGGCAGCCAAACCTTTCCAGGTGGTCGATGCTTTTTTTGGGCAAAGATTCCTCAGAGATTCCTCACAGATCTGGGTAAATTTGATCACGACCGAGCCCGAAAGCGACCCAGCCCTGGGAATGATGGTTAGGAATAGGGAAATCATCCCAATATGGCCGCAATTCATTCAGGTGAGTGAAATATTGTAATTTACCCAGAAAGATTCCCAGATCCATCTTCCTACTGATTCATTTTTTGGAACTCCAGGGATATTGGAGAAAAAAACATAAACCAATGTATTGGAGATGATCACCATCCATTCCGATCTGGCCCGAGATGCCCTGGTTTGGGGATTGGAGAACTTATTGGGGACCATTTAGGTGGTCAATATGAGGGGATGGGATGACCAGCCACCTCTGGCAGATGGTGATGGAGAGAGAGAGTACCAATCCATAGATGTTTTTGCCATATTTTTCCGCTGGAAGTATTGGACAACCTGGAAGTTTAGAGAAAAAAACCATTAAAAACCATTGCCAGAAATACAAGGAAGTTAGAGATGATGAGACGAGTTTCAGGTGACATTCACTTGGTTTTTGGTTGTTGCATTTTTTGTTACATTGGGGAAGCCTTGAGACCTATGATCATAATGCGAGCTCTAAAAAGGATGGCTCATGATCAATGATGGCTCAAAACTTGAAACATCCTGACATCCTGAAACCAGAGTTGAAGATCGGAAGAATCAAAGAGTGATTTTTTTTTGTCACCCCTGGGTGACCTGTTTTTGTTCTCCAATAATCCAATGTGCCCGGCTCGTGAGACCGAGATCTGGCTCGCCACGTTCATCTGAGGTAGAGAATCTCCGGGAAGTCTTAGGTGAAACGTTTGAAGGAAACGAGGTGCAAAATTTGTTGTGCCTAGGCTGCAGGAATTTCTGGCTGTGCTAAGTGCTAAATGTCACTTGAAAAATACGGTACAACATTTAAATATGTGGAGGGCGGGCCAGACCGCGAGGCCCCGGAGGTAGTATGAAATACCAGTTCGTATTCGTATGTTTAAAAATCCGTATATTTAAATGTAGTTACCGTACTACTTTCATAATACTTTTGAGGGATTTCTTTCACATCACCAAGAAGAGAGATCTCTTGGTGAGTATATATATATACACATATATATATATATATATGCACATATCTTTATATCCCCAAGAGTGGGCCGATGTTTAATCTATAGGCCATTACGCCGGTAAGGCCTGAACTGCTGTTTTTTTCACTCCAAAACCTGGGAATGAGATGGGAAACCCCTGTTTGAGATCTATTTGGCGTTGAGTGGTTAGTTGGAAGGATGTGAGTCATATGAGGTCCCTATATGCATGGATATCCATGGATTCTGCTGAAGGAAAAGGCACAAGTTTGTGGTTGTTTCTGGTGAATCTCCTATTTGGGGATTCTCTTTGGGACTAAGGGAACTCTGGAGCTGCTAAGAAAAAAAGCCGGCGGCTGGTTTTCAAGATGGTAGCTATGCCTCCAGCATAGCCGAGCATAGCTATTGAACATGATCCATTTAATCATCTAGTTCGTTGATTTACCCAACAAATGATGATGTTCCAGTTCTCATATATTGGCAATTTCATCATCCCAACTGACGAGTTGTCATATTTTTCAGAGGGGTAGGTCAACCACCAACCAGTTAAAGTTGGATGACAACCCCATGGGAATGACATAACTTTGGGAGATCCCAGGAGCGAACTGAACTTGAAGAACGATGGAGCCATCTCTTATGAGGCTTAGATGGAATCTTGTCGAAGCGGCATAGGGATGTCATATACTGAGTATAAGGTGGGTAAAACGTGGTAAAACAATGGGACTTTCAGGATCCAATTGATGGAGGTACATAAACGTACCATATTTCAGGCCATATATAAGGCCGATGTAAGGGAATATCCCAACAAAATATACCTCCAATTTAGGTTCCTGAAATGGCCATTGATGATAAAACAATGTCATAAACCATCCCCCAGTCATCACCATTTTTATAGGTGGTATTTGTTCCATTCCCAGTCATGGGTGGTTTATGACATTGTTTTAACCGCATGCATTATAATGGGTTCTAAGTTCTACTCCAATCACTGCAACTTAGATAGAGGTTATATAGTATACATTTTCCAACTTTTTGATTTTAGGGGTTCCAGCTGGAAATGCAATTGTCGACCAACTGATTATGGTTCATTTGGGTTTAATAGAAGACACCGGACCTCAGGGGTCATCATTTTCCGCACCTACCATTGCAGCTTTGGGGAAGCTGAGATGGGACACAGCCATTTCCGGCCACCGGAGTACTGCACATATCATCAGATGGCCAAAAAAAAAACATATCCCAGGTGCCAAGAAAATCCAGGATCCGGGAAGACCCAGCGCGTTTTCCCAAAAGTGAATCTATGGAAAAACGTGCCCCAAAAACCCAAGAGCTTCTTTGCTGAACAGATTTCGTGGATCCCCGGATTTCAAACCTGAAAGAATCACATTTTCCAGCCATTTCTACCAGGAGTGGATCCAGTATTTGAAGGGTGGACTGGGGGATGTCCAGCCCCACCACGCTGATGCAGCTGACACTTGGAGAAAAACCATCAGAAATCCATAGGTTTTGGTCAGACTTTTTGGAGAGCTGGAGCTGCCACTTCAGGTTTGGGTGAGTTCGATTTCGGAAATTGGCTTTGCCGCATTCATCATTACTATATATATATAAATATTATATGTATATAATATGTGTATATATATATGTATATATATATATATATGTGTGTGTATTTGTATTTTCTTTTTTTGCGAGTTAAAGAGGGTGAAAAAAGATCTCAGTTGCTAGAAGTGAAATTCTGAATCGCTCGGGCTCAGTGCAAATGGTCCAGCAATTGACAGGCAGATTTTGGGAAAGATTGTGACCTTAACCTCTGGTAAACTAACAATTGGCGAACTGGAAAACCACAATTTTTAATAGCTAAATCAACGAACTAAATGGCAATTTGTCCAGTGTTTATTCATGATGCTCATGAATCTTGCGATGGCAGAGGTTAGATGAATTCATATGAATTGCTCCCTTTGACTTGCCACACTTTGCCGAACATGTCCAACTATCGCAAGACATCACAAGAGTTGTTTCATCACACGCACATATGTATATTATACATGTCTATACCTATGAAAATATGCATTTAGTATGGGTGTGTCTGAAGATATGGTGTATACCTGCCCCAAAGTTTGATTGTTGATCATTTCTTGTTCTCATATTTCCCTGTTGATAATTGCACATGTCCAGCCCGGTGTGTGGACAAACCTACATCATCATTACAATTGGTTCTATGCCAATGAATTAAATCCCACCGCCCCCGCTCTTGTAACTTGGTTTATAATCCCCATTAACTATACCCATAGGATCTATGTATGCTATATATGCTAACATTTGGGGTATATTGATGGTAAATGTTAGCATATATACCATACATGGATCCTATGGGTATGATATCATAAGCTCAACAGTTATTCGAGTTATTTACACCCACTGAACGCGATTCCTAGCACCATCAGTCGTGGGCCTCGTCGTGGGCGATTTCGCAAATCTCAGAATTGAGGCGCGGGTGATCGACACGATGGAGAAGAAGGAGGAGACAGGGAATTAACCATGGTTTATGGTTTATGGTAGAATTAACAATGGATCTATACAGGATGGGGCCCCCAAGATAGCGTTCAGTTGGTTTATAAGTGGCTGAATTCTATGGTTTATGGTAGATATAACTATACTTCATGGGGATTATTTCATGGTTTATAAACCAACATTCACATCACTGGGGGGCCCCATCCTGTACATGTTTCAACCGCCTTCTGAGTTGGCTATAGTTCAATAATCAACATAATGGGTGGGTAACCGTTTGTCCAGAAATGCGGCAGCCAGCCGCTTAGCCATGCTTAGCCCCAAGAATTCCTCAAAAAAATGTAGGATGATTAAAGGGTATATATATATATTTCTGGTTGGTGGTTTCAAACATGACTTTTATTTTCCATTTCATATATGAGATGTCATCCATGATAATCCTTTCCCATTGACGAACTCCATCGTTTTTCAAGATGGGCACATTGCACCACCAACCAGTGATAATCCAATGGTATTTCTAGGACATTTTCTGGGATTCTCTGATTTTGGGGGATCGGATTTTCAGACAAAGCCGTCTATCAACTTCATCTCTTGCCGCATGCCATATATGTGGGGGAATGCCAAAGGGCATCTCTGTGGAGGTGTTAGACCCCCAGCTCATACATGATCCTTGTGTATATATATATAATTATACCCTCTGGTAATTTAGCATAGCTACTGAAAATGGCAATGTTTAATGGGAAAATAAACTATAAATGGCAATTTTCAATAGCTATGTTAAATTACCAGAGGGTAATTATATATGTATATATTATATATATATATATCTCTCTCTCTCTATGTGTGTGTGCGTGTGGTAGCTAAAATTGGGCATGATGTGCGTTCTGGCGCATGCTGTGCAGAGGTGTTTCAATTCCAAGTTGGTCAGCTTTGGTCACCCTGTTGATGAATCGGTAGCAAAACGAGCCTGATATTGGCCAAGGGGTCCCCAAAAATGTCGGTTTCGTATGGTTTCGTATCAAATGTATCAATCAATTCAGTGGTTGTTGATCTCATTTTTCACATTTGATATGGCCATTTTCAGGGTCACTTCCAACTTTTGAAGACATGGCTAACATGGCTATCCCACATTTTGATGTCGCTCGAACTTGTCGGTCCTGGTGACCAGGAGGCAGAGGGCCTACGGCCCGCCAGCAAAGCTGTGCGAGCTAGTGGAAAACTCAGGGCTTCCAGATTTTTCAGCAAGTCACCAGCCAGATGGATCTATACAGGATGGGCCCCCAGTCGATAGCGTGAACCGTTGGTTTATAAGTGGCTGAATTAACTGTGGTTTATAGATATAACGAACTAGTTAACAGTTAATGGTGGTTATTTCATGGTTTATAAACCAACTTATAACTGTTGATTGGTGTTTTAATGTGGTGACTACCACTAGAATAATGTCAAAAAACAATATGAAACACCAATCAACATCAATCCATGTATGGTGAATATGGTGTTTATCTCTTGTTGACATGTTTTCTACCACCTTATAATTAATGTGGTTAAGATAATGTCATAAACGACAAAAGAGACTGGGAATGGAACAAATACCACTTATAAAAATGGTGATGACTGGAGGATGGTTTATGACATTGTTTTACCATCAACGGCCATTTCAGAATTTCAGGAACCTATATAAATTGGAGCTACCTACCATATTTTAGGCCTTTTTTTAAGGCCTAAATTTCAGGGAATATCCCCCACAGTAGCTCCATTCGAAGCCTAAGGAGCAACCTCCGATCGCAGCATCCAGGCGACAGTGTCCAAACCCAGGACCGACCTCGGATGCTTCGGATGTTTCGGAAAACGCGGTGGTTTTTCGCGACTGAAACCAGAAGTAGCCTCTGGTAAACATACAAAAAACTATGGAAAATCACCATTTTTCATGGGTAAATCCACTATAAATTTCTATAAATGGCCATTTGCAATAGCTATGTTAGTTTACCAGAAGTAGTTGATGATCGTTCAGTGTGACATCGTTTTATCTGATTTTTTTTTTGGGGATGACTGGGATGACTGCTCCAGGATCGGTGTGCAGATGGAAGATGTGGCCGTTACCTCACACGTAGAGGTGCCACAGGCGACAGATGGCATTTTTATGGAGGGATTTTGGGTGGAGAAATGGAGAATCAGATGCCCCATATTAAACACTCCGAATATCTCCTAATAATGGCTTGATATAGTGGTAGAGAGGTTGTTTTTTTTCACTCGCCTTGATTCGGCCTAGCTGGACTCTTCAAGAAGGCGATGAAGAAGAAGAAGAAGAAGAAGAAGAAGTGGTTGATGGCTATGAACGGCTTAATGCTGGTTATTGATGGCCATTGATGGTTAATACTGGTTAGTAAGCCCATCCCTTGCATGTGAAAAAAAATAAAAAGAGTCGCATTCGATGGTCCTTACATGATGTGGTTTCATCATATTTCATCCCGAAAACCGATGGTTTCTGGGTTCAAATGAAGTGGAGGGGTGTTTTTGACCATATGACAAGCCACTTATACATGGGTCCAGTAACATTTCTGAGTGACGATCATGATCACGATTCCTGGGACGCAGATAGGGGTTTTGGGCTATAGATGGCTATAGATGGCTATATGATCTATAGGTATAGAGCCATCTATTTAATGGGAATGTTTTTGCTGGGGTACTTCATGGGGAGATTTTATAAGCAACATCTATGACTCTGAGAATCGATCGACATCTGAATCCTGTTGTGATCTCACGTAGGGGTGAAAACCGTCACTGGAATGATAGTTCTGATAGGAGAAATCATCCCCCTTTGCCCAATCTGAGAACTTCAATGATTTTCAGGTTGATGAATGATGATTATAATTCAGCCAGATTAGATCCCCTATTGTGTTATTTAAGATCTATAATCTCATGATATTCCCTATATATATTACTTTGGTGAACTAAGAGATTACTCATCTTGAGGATCAGCGCCACTCATAGCTCTCTAAGTCACTAGATATCCACTGAAAAGATATCTCCCCAACCAGATCCAGCCAGGAAGACGATGTAAAGGTGAGCCATCACCACATCTGTTGTTCTGAAGGATGCCGTTTTCAGTGAGCAAAATTGCCACCATGATCTGCGTCGTGACGTTTAACTGCTGAATTTCAGCTGCTGAATGATGCAAATCATGTTTTTTCAAGGCTTATGGTCCCTAGGGTTCTTGTGAGTATGCTTCAAGCATATGCACACTGCTAGACCTCAGCAACGTTCGATGTGGGTGTGACATGTTTCATCATGTTTCCAATTTTTCTCCATGTTTCTCCAATCAAGCACCACTGATGAGTATCAATCATGAAATCGTCATACGAATGTCATTGGATGATCCCAATTGACATTCCATGTGGTTATTCAAGTATATTCAAGTAGGTCAAAGCCACCAACTAGTTCCAAAATAGGATGATGCACACATGTACAAACAAAACAACTTACAGTTGGACTGAGTTGCGGCTGAATCACACGGATTCCGGTGATATAAGTTATGCCTTAAACTTAAACCGTCTAAAGTTCTGTCATGCCAATCCACCGAATCAGATGATGAAGCGCTGTCATGCCCATGTTGACTGCTTGCAACGTTTACATTTTGACCTCGGTTTCACCGTCCTCGTTTTCTTTTTCTCGATAGCGTCCGCGGGCACGGCATAGCCGCGTTTTCTTCCGCGTTTTGGGGGGTTCAGCAGCCAGTTTCTTTGGGGGTGTTGATAGGGTTGTTTGGGCCAACTGCGCCTAAGCTACTCACCCTCTGGTAGTGAAACGTGGCAATGAAAGATCCCATATGTATATATATATATTAATACACACTCCGTGAATTGAGGTTTCATGGGAAAATCTCCATCTAAGGAGTTTTTTTTTTCCGTGCTTTGGACTCGGAGTATTTCTTCAATTTCTGTACAGATGAAGAACTGGATCACCAGTAAATTGGAAACCCCTGCTGAAAGCCCTTTGTTTGAACCGTCCCAGGCTGCTCCCCCAGGATGCTTGGTTTATTTGGTCCGAGCCATCCTGAAATACGGAGAACGGACCGAAGTGTTTGAAACTTTCAATCTTTGGGCTTCAGAGGAGCTACGGTTAAGAGGCCAAAGATGTTGAATAATTAACCACCTTGAAAACCAAAGATATCCGACGACCAAGACGACCAAGACGATCCATTTATGAAGCTTGGAAACCCGCTGAACATGGCATTTTTTCAGTTCCAGCCATTGTTTGGTTTGATTCATCGATAAAAACTGGTTGGTGGTTTGGAACATGACTTTTATTTTCCATTTCATATATGGGATGTCATCCTTCCCATTGACGAACTCCATCATTTTTCAAGATGGGCACATTGCACCACCAACCAGTAATTGTTGTGACAATAGTAGGATATTCATGGGATAATCATGGGACATCTAACTTTTATGGGGGTAAAACAATGTCATAAACCAACCCATTGGGGAAGTTTCATTGGGAGGGTACCATGTAAGCATCAAATGTTATGACGATTTGGGGGGAATGGCCCCCCTATGGGATGGTGAAAATCGCTATTCGTCACCATGCTTGAGCCAATAATTGCCATTCATTCTTTATCATGATTCAGCCATTGTTAATCATTATATAACACACATATATATATATATATATTTAACATATACATATATATAAACATTAGAATATATATATATATAACACATATATAACATATATAACTTTTTATTATTTTACATATATATATATATATAACATATATACACGTAATATCTCTGTGTGTGTGCATGTATTTTCATCTCTTAAAATGCTGGAAGCTCCTTGGAATCCCCACAGCTCCGTCCTCGTGACTCACGGGAGATCTGACCTTTGGTAGCTAAAATGGTCGAGTGGTGGCCCCCTGTGGGTTTTCCATGATTTCGCAGCGATTTTTTCTGTGGAGGTTCGGTTTTCCATGATTTTAAGGGAGGATTTAGCAACTTAATTAATATGACGGTACTATAATCAAAAAGTTGGGGGTCTTACAATCAAATAGATGGGAATGAAGCATGATCTGATCGATTCGTCGATTGAACCACCAAAGTTTAGATCAAAATATCATGGACAAAAACATATGAACCTCACAAAAGTCATCCGGAAATTCATGTTGTTTGATGCCACTGCGCAGTGTTATGGCTCAAAGGTTGCATTTGCCCGCTTTTGCCCTTCTTTGATCCGTTTTCTTTCCGGATGCCATTTCCATCCGCCCGCAAATGTCTGGAAGAATTCGATCTTGACAAAGATGGAAAACTCTCCCATGCCGAGTTGGGCAGCTGTTTGTTTGAAGTCCTAAGCCGTGGAGGTTGTCCCAGCCCCAAGCGCACCTCCGCCCTGATGCTGGAGGAGTGGGCCCTGAGGTCCGAGGGCCTTGCTGCAGGGGAGGGTGCCTTGGACCGTTTGCTGCGCGCGGCCAAGGGCTACTGCGCAGAGGAGAAATCCACACGGAAACGGACACATTCGGAAGCTGAGGAGTGAATTTTCTTGGAGAATTTGGACATCAATCCGATTCTGACTTGATAACTATTGCATCACTTTCATATGGATAACTTGATTTTTGCTGCAACTTTGTTTCTTGAGATCGGCCATGGATTTTTCGTTGCCACTCTGACCACATCGGCGCAAGTCATGGAAGCTCCACATGGTGCAAGTCCTCGTTTCACCCTGTTGGAGAGGTGGCCAGAAAATGGGCTGGAAGCATTTGGGCACAAGGTGGTGCCCCCCCCAGTTATAAATTGGTTATATATAATCCCGTTAACTATAGATATATCACCTATGAACCATAGTTATTGGACTTATAAACCAACTTAGCTAACTATGGGGCACCATCCTGCATGTCTGAGACTCGTTTTTGTTGCCCATAGAATCCACATTTTATGGCAATTTGGTTGGTGGTTTGGAACAAATCTTGGGAATAATCATCCCAACTGACGAACTCATATTCTTCAGAGGGGTTGAAACCACCAACCAGCAATTCTATGCAAAAAAATGAGTGTTCTGGGCTGCGACTCTCCCCAAATTGGGTTTTCTTCACCCAAATTTGTTGATTTTGTCGTAAACTGATGGCCCCACATGGTCCCACATAACATCTTACAACCTGTTTGTACCGTTTTCCATGGTGACAATATATATATATAACTATACACATGCATACACACACACATAGTCACACACACACACATATATATATATATATCATATATATCATATATAATCACATATATATATATCACATATATATATATATATCATATATATATATATATATCATATATATATATATCATATATATATATATATATCATATATATATATCATATATATATATCATATATATATATATCATATATATATATATCATATATATATATCATATATATATATAAATATATCATATATATATATAAATATATCATATATATATATCACATATATATATCATATATATATCATATATATATATATATCATATATATATATCATATATATATATATATCATATATATATATATATCATATATATATATCATATATATATATATCATTTATATATATATATATATATACCATATATATATATCATATATATATATATATCATATATATAGTATATGATATATATATATATAATATGATATATACTATGAGGGCCCACACTCGTCACACCCTAAATGCCAAGCTTTCCGGGTCCCATTTCTGGTGCCCAATTCAGACATGTTTTTGCCAGTGGCCCATCGACGGATGAGAGAATGGGGGTTACAAAATGTTGGAAAGCTGTTCTATATATAGCTGTGCTTCTGGACGCCGCTGTGCGTAGCTGAGGGCAGCATGTACGCTCCTGGGTGCTGAGTGCACAGCTGGGGGTACGCTAATAATAGTACAGAATAGAGTAGATTACATGTGGGAACCTAGAAACTAAATGCATGCTAGGTTGCTTTCATCCGGGATCTAGGAGAGTTTGAAGACATGTGCGGAATTGAGTGAAGGACATGGGGTCATCAGCGGACTGTGACGCCTGCAGCTTTTGAGGGACCTCAGTTTGACACTTGGAACCACTCCTGTCACTGTGTGTGTGTGTAACAGTGCATGGCTGACACAGGCAGTAGACTGCATGACGTGGAGAGGAAAAAGTTAAGGGGCATGCGGCGCCAGACTGCCTGGTGCACAGCTGCGTGAATGTTGGAGTTCATGATGTGACCGGTACGCTCTTGGGCGCTTGTCGCGCAGCTAGTGGTACCATGACATGGCTGTGCTTCTGGGCTTCGCTACGCGCAGGTGAGGGTAGCGCAATGTAGCCGGTATGCTCGTGGGCGCTGGTCTCGCAGCGAAGGGTACCATGACATGGCTGTGCTTCTGGGCGCGGGAGTGCGCGGCTGAGGGCAGCTGTAGCCGGTACGCTCTTGGGCGCTTGTTGCGCAGCTGGGGGTACCACATTGTCTCACATGTGTCATCTTTGAATCCAGGGGAGATAGGTTTGTCAATATTCAAGGATAAGTGTAAAACAACAATGTAGCCGGTACGCTCTTGGGCGCTTGTCGCGCAGCTAGGGGTACCACATTGTCTCACAAGTGTCATGTATGGATCGCAAGGATGATTTCTGAGTGTTCAATGATAAATGTAAAGCAACAATGTAGCCGGTACGCTCTTGGGCGCTGGTCGCGCAGCTAGGGGTACCACAAAACCTTCCACCATGTGTCATGTATTGATCCTGATCGCAGGGATGATGTCTGAGCATATGCAATGCTAAGTGCATAACAACAATGCAGCGGGTACGCTCTTGGGCGCTGCTCGCGCAGCTAGGGGTACCAGAAGCCGGTACGCTCTTGCGCGCTTGTGGCGCAGCTAGGGGTACCAGATTGTTGAGCCCAGCAAAATTAATGAACAAGGTCTTCCTGAAGCGATGTTTTTGAGAGAGGTAACATTAAACTTTTGGAACTATATGGAGTGTACGGGGGCACCCCGTTTGGGAAGGTACGGGTGTACAACGCTATCGGGCATGGATAAGCCCTCTTCTCCCGCTAGTTAATAACTTTGTAAGTCCCAAACGGGGTGGCCCACGGTCCTCCCGCCCGCTAATAGTATTCTGATGGCACTGTGTTCCACATTGGTGGACCATTCTGCTGAGTGGGACAGCTCGGAGCCGTGGCTGGCAGATAACATGGAGCTCATTGATTTGTACGAGCCGTGCTTCGCAAGCTGAAAATAAGAGCTGTCAATCGGGGGGTTGAATTGGTCCAAGAAACGGGACGTGAACTAGTGGCATTTTCTGACTTGACCATCCAGGGCCTCTATTGTATATTTATATAAATATATGATATATATATATGATAAATATATGATGTATGATATTTATATATGATATATATATATATATGATATATATATATATATGAGATGATATATATATATATATATATGATATATATATATGATATATATATGATATATATATATCTATATGATATATATATGATATATATATATGATATATATATATATATGATATATATATGATATATATATATGATATATATATGATATATATATATATGATATAAAATATTTATATATATATATGATATACATATATGATATATATATACACATTATATATATGATATATATATATAAGATATATATATATATGACATATATATATATATGGTATATTTTATATATATGATAAATATGTCTCTGTGTGTGTCTATTGATATAGTATCAGAATCAATGTTAATTTATTTGTATTAGCTATTCTATTTATTCCAGTAGGGTTTCCTTATTTTATCAATGCCACCTTCTGTTGAGCGCAGCCGCTATTTCACCACTATTTCACTTAATGCTGATTGCCAGAAAATGTGGACATTTGTCAGGGGCCATTGATACGTTTTTGGGGGTAGACATTGGTTTGGTTAACTTAGTAACTTGGTTGTGTGTTGGACATCGCCAGTTCCATTGAGGTAATTATCCAGTGACTAACTTCATGCAAATCTAAGCAAAAGGGGTTCCATGGAAGTGCACCTGTCATTGGTTGAAGAAAGACATGCGGGAAGCCTCTAGATTTTTTGGAGAAAACGCATGGTTTACTGCAGATTTCCCTAACAGCCAATTACTTTCTTTTGGCATAAAATCATATAAAAAAGCACGTAATTATAAACGATCCCTATTTATTTATGGTTAAAAACCAGCAAAAACCAGCAGTTTCCCATGGTTTCCCATGGTTGCAGCCCTCATTTCCCTTCGGGTTTTGGATTTTTTTCTGCTTCTTTTAGGTCGATGCCAACCTTCGCCTGGTGTCCCGTGTATCCCTGGCGGAGCTGCCGGAGGAGCCAGCAACATAGAGATTTTTCCAGGCGAATGAGGATTCGAAGTAAGGAAAATCATGGGAAAATCATGGGAAAACATGGAAAAATACTGGTTGGTAGGGGACAATAGCAGGATATTCATGGGATAACAATGGGATATCTAACTAATGGGGGTAAAACAATGTCATAAACCAACCATTTGGGAAGTTTCATTGGGAGGCTACCATTTAAGCATCAAATGTTATGACGATTGGGGGCGATGGCACCCTAATTATTAAACCATGGTTTATAAAAATCCGGGGTTCATTCAGGACGTCATCTCCATAGCTGGCCTTCAAACTATATCCAGGCTGATCATAATTTGAAAATAGCCTGATTTCAACTATTTAACCTGGTTGGTGGTTTGGAACATGAATTTTATTTGTCCATTTAGTTGGGAATAATAATCTCAACTGACTTTCATATTTTTCAGAGGGGTTGAAACCACCAACCAGATTTAACTATTGGGTGATGAATTAGGGTTAATGGGTGTCAAACAATAATTCCCAGATGATTGGAAATTTGATACCTCATGATGTATAGCAACACCAAACTGCCAAACATCATGCAAAAAGTAATCCATCATTTTCCAGAAATGGGGGTAAAACAATGTCATAAACCAAGCATGACTGGGAATGGACACTTAAATTATTTATGGTGAAATTGGGTGATGGTTGATCATATCAATATCATAGCTGGCCTTGTTTTTTCTATATAACTATTGGTGAATTATTATAATGATAATGAAAAGCCGGTGATATACTGTAATGCTTTATTGGAAAAACTGGAGCGCCTGGAAACCAGCCAGTCTTTCGGAAAACTCGGGGGCTAGAAGGAACGCTTTGGTGTTTCGACAGGCAGGACAATCCAGGCAGTGGGAAAACAGATGAAACAAATCTATTAAGAGGGTTAACATCCTTACTTGTGCTTAGTAGGGAATGAGGGAATGATCCACAATAACTATCAAAAATAATCCCAGCAACCCCCATTCCCATCCATTCCCTACGTTTAGCACCAGTAAGCATCATTCAAATAAAAATCCTACTTATTTCTACCAGTGACACTGTTTGGTGACCAAGCCAAAATCGGTCAAAAGGAGAGATGTTTGAATGTCCATACAAGGAAATGTCAGGTTGTCAGACGGGGACGGGGGAACCCATTTGACCCTCTTAGTAGGTTCTTGAGAGATAGCCCGCACCAACAGGCTATTGTTTATTCGCAAATGTTTGGTGGTTTGACAGTTTGACCCCAAAAAAAATCAGAGAACAGCACAACCTGCTGACTTCTGAATCGAACCTATTGAGAGCAGAAACCAGCAGACGTGATTTTTGGATTTTCTTTTTCGTGAAGTTGTGCTTTTTCATCCATAGTGGCCCTACTTGATATATAATTTCACCATATTTATATAGTTCACCCCACATGTCTCAAGAAAGACTTGGGATGGGTGACCTAACCATCAGCTTTCAGCCCACTTTCAGCCCCGCCAGGACAATCGTTTGGTCAGTCTGGAAGATTTCGTCTTAACCTTGGAGATGATGATGGCTGAATGGCTGTCAAGTGTTTTTTCCTCACATGAAACACTGCCCAGAAAGCATGGTGGATGTACGTGTTGAATATCTGGTTGGTGGTTTGGAACATGAATTTTATGACTTTCCATATATTGGGAATTTCATCATCGCAACTGACTTTCACTCAGATTTTTCAAAGGGGTAGGTCAACCACCAACCAGATGAAGTTCTTTCCGACGTCATGTCACATCATCCATTGTTTTCCATGCTGCAGCTGTTTCAGCTGCCTGTGTGGCACCTGTGAAACAGCTGATTCGCCAATCGCTGGGCCCATCAAGTTTCATCCAGAATTATCCGGCAGTCAGCTGATTTGACGTCCATATGGAAATGGCCCATTTATAGATGGCTTACCTATTAAAAATGGTGATTTTCCATGGCTATGTTAAACAACCAGATGGTAATTCATATTCGATTGGATTTTGGGATTTTGGCGTCAAATTCGATTCCAAATCCTTCCATCTGTGTGAACTCCCACTCAATGTCGGAGATGGGAGAGGGTTAGCCGCTGTGCTGCACTGAGTGGCATGGCCATGTGGCAATGTGGCATTGGTCATGATGGTCGTGCACCACTTCATGAGGACTTAACAAACATGATCTATATATGCTCATTGCATTCCAAGTGCTACGGCAGATTCTACATTGATCAGTTGCACCTCTCATTTTTCCTCTCATGATTTCATCAGATTCAACGGAAACAACAGTTTCCAATTGCTGCATTGACATGTCTATTGTCTATTGTTTATAATCTTTTACCATCATATCAATTCATATCATATCATTTATATTCATTTGTATATTTGGTATTCGACCATATTTGTCGACTGGTTTGATCCTAAGATTCATTTCCATTTGATTTCTCATCTCAGATTATTGTGTAATATTGTGTGCATCCGCAATTGTATTCTCACTATAGTTGGTTATATACCCATTCAATCCCATCAACCTCTCCAAGTGAGCATCATTTTCATGGCGCATATTTTCTCATTAGTAGTCCATAGATTTTGCTTAAACCAACCCATTGAAAATCAATGTGTTTTCTTTTTGAATAGTCATTTTACAACCCCCAAGAAAATTCATTTCCTTTCAATCCATATATTCATAGTAGTTTTTTCCGATTTCCCATAGATTCTCCCGCAAAATCCCATTGAACATCGCGACTTCCAGATGGATTTTCCATCGATTTCCTGTAGATTTTGAGCCATGTTCATCCTCGACCTGGCGAGGCCACATGTCCATGAAGCGACCACTAGATAATGAAGATGACCAAGGTGCAAAGGGGTCGGACCACAAGATGTTGCTGCCGAAAAAAGCCTGGATTTTTCACCCAAAAAAAGCATGGAAAACTGGTTGGTGGCTTGGAACCATGGAATTTTATGACTTTCCATATATTGGGAATAGTAACCCCAACTGACGAACTCATATTTTTCAGAGGGGTAGGTCAACCACCAACCAGAAAATCATGGATAAGAATGTAACAGAATGTATAAAACCTAGATACACATAGATAGAAATTAATGATGAAAAATACGATATTTTAGTAAATTCCATGTATGAATAGTGATGAAGTATAAATTACATTACTATAATTTTTTGGAGCTTCTTACGGAGAGAAACGCATGGAAATTATGATGACACAATCAAGAGTAAAGATGATGACATGACATTTTACAGAATATGTTGTTCTATTTGTTTGATTTTGTTTGGAGGTTTCTGCAGCTATAGGTTCCCTAGCACCGTACATCGGTATTGGAGTCAAGATCACAGAAACCAAAAGAATGGCTGTGTGCGAAGGCCCCATCAGAATCCTAGTCTTTTCTGGTGCGTGGCTGACTGATTTTGATTCATTCCCTGTCAGAAACAGTTTGGAATGTAAATCTGTCGGATGCTTCTTGGAGGAACATCCTATATTAAATCAATCCAGCAGCCAACTCAACTTTCTTCCGACTCATCCCACCAGATCATCCCATTTGATTGAAATGCGAGTTTCAACATTTCACAAAGTCAAGAAGCTATGATTGGTATTTATACATATTTGTCGATGTACGGTTCACACCATCTCATTGCATTTTAAAACTGTTTGCACAGGTCGAAAAATACCAACCAAGGACAACAATTTTGTTCATTTTTCTTCACTACATCCACCTGTTCTTGGGCTAGATATTTATCATATCAAACATGGTATTTACCATCTGGTTATGACTAACAGTTTGCCATGGAAAATCACCATGCTATGAAGTTCGGTAAACCATGGTAAACCATCTATTTCGATTAGGGCCATGTTTAATTTCCATTTCGGGTTGATCCACAACTTCTTCCCATCTCCAACGGCCCGAAGTTCCATGGTGGATCCCCATATGGGTCACCGGCCGAGGTGGGGTGAAGAAGCGCCTTGAGGCAGGAGAAGTGGTGCCATGGCCATTCATTGACATCCGAAAAATCCTGCGAAAAAGATCCGACCAAAAGGGGGAATCATCGAACTAAACATAGGAATTTTAAAGGATTTTTAAGGAATTTATATGATTGATGTTTGAATTGATATATGATTGATTTATGATTGATATCTGATTGATATCTGATTGGTATATGATTGATATATGATTGGTATATGATTGATGAATTGATATGTTATTGATATGTTTGAATTGGTATATTGTGATTCATCGAAGTAATATCGATATATGATTGATAAAAATGATTAATATATGATTGATATTGATGTTCTATGTTTATTGATTTCTTATGACATCATGATTGGTATATGATTGATATATTGTGATTCCTGAGTCTTGGGACACCTTGTCCAGATCGACAGAGTGAACTCCGTCCCTTCTGATAGCTGATCTGTCCAACTTTGCAGTAGTTTTCTCGGGACAGGAAAAGGTGTGGGGGTGCCCCAGGTATATCCTCCGGTTATTTAACATAGCCATGGTATAGATGGCCCATAGAAATAGATGGTTTACCTATTGAAAATGGTGATTTTCCATGGCAAGCTGTTAAATAACCAGATGGTAACTATAATTCGATATAATTCGTCTTTGATTTAATGTACTGTAAGAAAAGATTAATATATCAGATTTATAGCCATGGCCATTATTTATCATACAATATCATACATATATGTTATAATATGTTCAACCATTCAAGTATGGTTCAGATATAATGATCACATACTGGGGATGACTGCTGAACCCCAAGTAAAAGAACATAGCCAAGCAAACCATGGCCCATTTAGTTCGATGATGTACTGTTTACATTTGTTTACTGATAAAAACCCGTGAAACATGGTGATTCTCCACTGCAAACTCTTCGTCTCTTATTTTACTGAAGGGTATAGTATATAATGGTATATATATATACATATTATACATATATATGGTAAAATCCAGCAAAAATCCGGATACCAAGATGAAATTCGGAATGATATTGGTGTGATAGAAACACGAAATATGGAAGGTTTCGATCATCAACCTTACTTGTTGAGATGTATCGGCCATCCGGGTTTATTGATTAGTGGCTAGTGGGTTCGTGGCCCAAATCATGAATATAATAGTATAGATATACCCTCTGGTTATTGAACATAGCTATGGGAAAATTGCCCATTTACAGATAAATTTCCCATTAAAACCACCATTTATAAGGGATTTTGCCATGGCTATGTTAAATAACCAGATGGTAGGTGACCATCCGCCCCTGATCCACAGAGAAATGGCAATGGACAATTCTTCATGTCTAGATGACTCAGGTAGCCTTTTTTTTCACCATTTTTTATATATTTTTCAGTCGCCAGGTTTGAATGTAGCAAGTTCTAAAAACGTGTATGTTTTCAAATACCATATAAAAAAGACATCAAAAATCCCATGGAAACAGTAGTTTTTCAAGCATCATCCAACTATTATCCAACTATCATCCAACTGCATCCAACTGCGTTGGAATTTATGTTGGACCATGTTGGACCTCCTTTGAAAAAACCAACGCGGTCCTTGAGGTTTTCTCTGGAAGAATCGAGTCGATGGATCCGGTGCAGCAGATGATAGTTCTTCCTGGAAGCAGAATTGTGGAAGTCGAACATACCCAGTGGATCATGTTATTTGTTAGTTAATGTTAGTCATGTATTACCCTATGGTAAATTAACTTGTTGACCCTGAAAATCACTCATGTTTAATGGAAACTAATCTTCCAACCCCTATCTGCCAGGGTCTATGTTAATATACCAGAGGGTATTATATGTTTGATGTTAGTTGATGTTATAGTTGATGTTAGAATATAAGTGTTTCGAGCGTCAAATGAAAGCATCAGTGAATTTGACGACGTTCCCGTGTTTGCAACTTGTTGAGGGTGCATGTTTGCAGCCACATAGTCACATAGCGCGAATTGGACCCCTGTGTGGACACCCGCTATGTTTGGAATCATAAATTATCTTACACCATTCGGAACCGGTTCCATGTTCGATATGTTGGATTCGTTCGGTGCTGGTATGTGTAGCTTTTAAAAAAGGGGACAGGGATGGAGAAATGGACAGATTTTGGATGATCCCTGCAGCTTGTGGATGGGATATTTGGGGTGGAACCTTATGAAGGAAGCAACAAAGTTGGGATGACCGCCAGAAGCCTTACATAGGATTCTAAGAACAGAGTTTGGAGTGTGATTTTCGCATTGGATGCGCATGCATATTTGGGTTCCATTTTCAGTGTCCGTAAGTTTGAAGCTATTCATATTGATATTCATAGTCAGTTGGACCTTTCTTGGTGCTTTTTGGCTGCTATTTGTGCAAGATTCTTATGATGAACCTCCGGGTCTTGTTGTTTGCTTCACAAATTTGTTGCGGTTGAAGCATGGTTTTCACCCTGGTTTTCACCGCCAAAATCCCAACAACCAGTGCCAGGTGACGCGTTCATCTTTGATTCACTGCCACGAGATTGCGCGGCAATCCTGCAAGGTCGCAGACATGTGCTACACAGTGGGAGATACCCAACCCGGTTATTTAACATAGCCATGGTATAGATGGCCCATTTATAAATGGTTTACCTATTAAAAATGGTGGATTCTCCATGGCTATGTTAAATAGCCAGATGGTCAGAGCTATAGAAGCCAAGCAGCTATTGAAGTATCCAGATTTTCTATATGATTACCTATGATTTATCATGATTTATCATGATCTAGCTCTCAAACGGGGAAGCCCTGCGGAGCGACGAATTGAGGGGATGACTCAGAATTCATTATTTTTTTGTTAATCAGAGCTTTTGCATTGGTTTTCTTGGTACATTCACTGAGCGGTTTATGTGTATATATATATATATATTGCCAAATATATGGCAATATTTATGTAAATATATGTAAATATATATAAATAAATAAATATATATATATGTGTATATATATGTCTGGTCTGAAAGAGATCTCCCAGTCCCAACAACCCATCAACAATTCATCATCAACCCATCAATCCATCAATCCATCCCAACGATATCTAAAAAAACATTGCAATTGAACATCATTTGATTCATCTATAAATATATACTGGTTGGTGGTTTGGAACATGAATCTATGACTTTCCATATATTGGGAATGATACTCCCAAGTGACGAACTCATATTTTTCAGAGGGGTGGCTCAACCACATACCAGTATAGGTTTCTAGCTCATCATCTATAAATATATAGGTTTATAGTTCATCATCTATAAATATATAGGATTAAATAGGTTTCTAGTTCATCATCTATAAATATATAGGTTTATAGCTCATCATCTATAAATATATAGGTTTCTAATTCATCATCTATAAATATATAGGTTTATAGTTCATCATCTATAAATATATAGGTTTATAGTTCATCATCTATAAATATATAGGTTTATAATTCATCATCTATAAATATATAGGTTTATAATTCATCATCTATAAATATATAGGTTTATAGTTCATCATCTATAAATATATAGGTTTCTAGTTCATCATCTATAAAGATATAGGTTTCTAGTTCATCATCTATAAATATATAGGTTTCTAGTTCATCATCTATAAAGATATAGGTTTCTAGTTCATCATCTATAAAGATATAGGTTTCTAGTTCATCATCTATAAAGATATAGGTTTCTAGTTCATCATCTATAAAGATATAGGTTTCTAGTTCATCATCTATAAAGATATAGGTTTCTAGTTCATCATCTATAAAGATATAGGTTTCTAGTTCATCATCTATAAAGATATAGGTTTATAGTTGCTCATCTATAAAGATATAGGTTTCTAGTTCATCATCTATAAAGATATAGGTTTCTAGTTCATCATCTATAAAGATATAGGTTTCTAGTTCATCATCTATAAAGATATAGGTTTCTAGTTCATCATCTATAAAGATATAGGTTTCTAGTTCATCATCTATAAATATATAGGTTTCTAGTTCATCATCTATAAAGATATAGGTTTCTAGTTCATCATCTATAAAGATATAGGTTTCTAGTTCATCATCTATAAAGATATAGGTTTCTAGTTCATCATCTATAAAGATATAAGTTTCTAGTTCATCATCTATAAAGATATAGGTTTATAGTTCATCATCTATAAAGATATAGGTTTATAGTTGCTCATCTATAAATATATAGGTTTCTAGTTCATCATCTATAAATATATAGGTTTCTAGTTCATCATCTATAAAGGTATAGGTTTCTAGTTCATCATCTATAAAGGTATAGGTTTATAGCTCATCATCTATAAAGATATAGGTTTATAGCTCATCATCTATAAATATATAGGTTTCTAGTTCATCATCTATAAAGATATAGGTTTATAGTTCATCATCTATAAAGATATAGGTTTCTAGTTCATCATCTATAAAGATATAGGTTTATAGTTGCTCATCGATAAATATATAGGTTTATAGTTCATCATCGATAAATATATAGGTTTCTAGTTCATCATCTATAAAGATATAGGTTTATAGTTCATCATCTATAAAGATATAGGTTTCTAGTTCATCATCTATAAAGATATAGGTTTCTAGTTCATCATCTATAAAGATATAGGTTTCTAGTTCATCATCTATAAAGATACAGGTTTCTAGTTTATCATCTATAAATTTTTAGGTTTCTAGTTTATCATATAAATATATAGGTTTCTAGTTCATCATCTACAAAGATATAGGTTTCTAGTTCATCATCTATAAAGATATAGGTTTCTAGTTCATCATCTATAAATATATAGGTTTCTAGTTCATCATCTATAAAGATATAGGTTCCTAGTTCATCATCTATAAATATATAGGTTTCTAGTTCATCATCTATAAAGATATAGGTTTCTAGTTCATCATCTATAAATATGCAGGTATATAGTTCATCATCTATAAATTTTTAGGTTTCTAGTTCATCTTCTATAAATATATAGGTTTCTAGTTCATCATCTATAAATATATAGGTTTATAGTTCATCATCTATAAAGATATAGGTTTCTAGTTCATCATCTATAAAGATTTAGGTTTCTAGTTCATCATCTATAAAGATATAGGTTTCTAGTTCATCATCTATAAAGATATAGGTTTCTAGTTCATCATCTATAAATATGTAGGTTTATAGTTCATCATCTATAAAGATATAGGTTTCTAGTTCATCATCTATAAATATATAGGTTTCTAGTTCATCATCTATAAATATATAGGTTTCTAGTTCATCATCTATAAAGATATAGGTTTCTAGTTCATCATCTATAAAGATATAGGTTTCTAGTTCATCATCTATAAAGATATAGGTTTCTAGTTCATCATCTATAAAGATATAGGTTTCTAGTTCATCATCTATAAAGATATAGGTTTCTAGTTCATCATCTATAAATATTTAGGTTTCTAGTTCATCTTCTATAAATATATAGGTTTCTAGTTCATCATCTATAAAGATATAGGTTTCTAGTTCATCATCTATAAAGATATAGGTTTATAGTTGCTAGTTCATCATCTATAAATATATAGGTTTCTAGTTCATCATCTATAAATATATAGGTTTATATTCATCATCTATAAAGATATAGGTTTCTAGTTCATCATCTATAAATATATAGGTTTCTACTATAAAGATATAGGTTTCATCATCATCTATAAAGATATAGGTTTCTAGTTCATCATCTATAAATATAGGTTTCTAGTTCATCATCTATAAATATATAGGTTTCTAGTTCATCATCTATAAAGATATAGGTTTCTAGTTCATCATCTATAAAGATATAGGTTTCTAGTTCATCATCTATAAAGATATAGGTTTCTAGTTCATCATCTATAAATATAGGTCAACATCGTTGGGAAAATCGCATCTCATTTCCGCCTCCAGGCCTTGAAGGCTTCCAATCAGCTGGTGCTCAGCTCGATGGCTGCCGTCGGTGACTCCGTGGCCTTCTTCTTGCGATGGTCGCGCGAGGGTCCGCAGGCGCCAACTTGGGCCGATTTGTCCATGTCATCCGATGTAACAAAAACGTTGGGACGTTGTGAATATAATATATTAATATAATAACTTAAGTATAATAACTTAACTAAGTATATGATAACTTAGAATTCATCATATGATAACTTAAGTATAAATAATATATATTCTGGTTGGTGGTTTGGAACCATGGAATTTTATGACTTTCCAAATATTGGGAATGTCATCATCCCAAGCGACTAAGATTTTTCAGAGGGGTTGAAACCACCAACCTACATTTTTATATATGTATATATAGTTTGCAATATAAGGCAATACAGTGATAATTTCAGCGAATGATAATGATAATGGTTTATACCATTCGGGAATGGTGATGGCCAAATTCTGAAAAAATGCCATAAACCACTCATTTGGGAATGGAACAAATACCACCCATCAAAATGGCAATTTTGGGGATGGTTTATTATTGTTTTACCCACATTGTAGATGATAACTCAACTAAATATAAAAAAAAAGGTGGGTAATATTATGTGAATATGATAGTTGATAGTTCTATAATATGGTGAATACACTATCACAACTATCAATATGTATTTATGGTAGCTGATACTTGTAAAATATTATTACAAACGAACAACAACCATACTTATATAACTTCTATATGTACAATGTACAACTTATTTAAGATACAAAAAATCTTTGCAGTTGCTAGTTGCTGCTAGTTTTAAATAACCCAATGATAAAAGTGATTGTAATTGATTGTATATGGTATATATGATGTATTTATATCGAGGTTATATCATATATACAAGGCTTTTAGCCTCATGAAATTTGGTGGCATTATGGTGGGCTGGGAAATCCCCGAACATGAGGAATCCAAAGGAGACTCCTCCCCAAATATCCAGTGATTAGGAGGGAGCGATTTGGAGCTAGGGGTATTCATATTCCCTATATATATATATATATTCCCTATTCAATGGGGAGCCAAGGAGCTACTTAGAGTTTCCCAATCATCTAATAGTAATATCAACCTCAATATCAAACAGCCAGATTTATCTGGGTGCAGTAGGGGGTTGACGACTCAAACTCGCCTTTTTTTTCAGTCTTTAGCTGTCACCGCACCTGTTTCAGTTCCCTATCCGCCCTATCCTTGTAAATCATGATGTATCATAACATATCATGATCACGTGAGAATCACATGGTTATTTCTATGGATCATAATGGATCAATACCTACACATGTCAATTTGTTTCGGGGGATGAACATATCCCAGCTGAAGTGTCCATGATCAATACCTACGGTATTATGGATCAAGAACAATAATATTAATAATAAGCCATCCCCCAGTCATCACCATTTTTATAGGTGGTATGTTTCCCATTCCCAGTCATGGGTGGTTTATGACATTGTTTTACCCACATTGCATCAGTATTTACCCTCTAGCTATTGAAAGTGGCCATAGAAATAGTTGATTTACCCATTAAAAATGGTGATGTGTCTTAAAGCATATCATAAATGGAGACTGGTAAGTTGGTAAAAAAAAATCATAGTAAGTATAGATATATTCTACCATAAACCATAGTTCTTTGTCAGTTATTTGCACCAACTTAGCATAAATCACAGCGATCTTCAGGCCTCCCCTCCCATGGTCCGACTGCGATGTGGTGATGACAACTTTGCGTTGCGACTGGGCGTTGACCACGAGATTTTTTCTCCGGAAGAATCAGCACCAAGAAATGCCAAGTTCCCATGGTTAATAATGCTTCTTAATGGCTAGAAAACATGGTTAATGGTTCTTAATGGCTAGAAAACATGGTTAATGATTGGTTTAATTTAAATTTACGATCATGCATGTTCTTTTCATGGTTCTTTTCAGGGTTATTTAGTTATTTTCATGTTTTTTTCATGGTTGTTAAGGGTGAATAATCCCATTAAACCTTAATTTGGATGGTCCCGAAGATGTTTTTGGATCGGAGATTCGCCATGGCTGGTTGGTGGTGACTGGAACCATGGAATTTTATGACTTTCCATTCACTTGGGAATGGAATTTTAGTGGATTTCCCCATATATATATATAGGGAATTTCATATATATTGGGAATGGAATAATCATCCCAAAGTGACTTTAACTCCATCATTTTTTCAGAGGGGTAGGTCAACCACCAACCAGATAAGTCATGATGAGTTTTCCAATAAGTTTGATTTCCCCAAAATATCTCAACTGGATGATGAGATGGTTTAAAGATCTTTTTCCAATGGAAAATAATGGAGATGAGATAAAATCATTAACCATCATCCCAAGTCACTTTAACTCCATCATTTTTTCAGAGGGGTTGGTTGAAACCCCCAACCAGATGGTTTTCCGAAGCATGGAAAAGCTGAATTTCAGGCTGGGCAAGTTCCGGACTGGAACGGCTGGCTACGGATTTGTGAGTTGCGATCTCATGACGGAATTCTTCGGAAGAGCCTGGGCGGAAATCAGCTGCCATGATGGCTGTTTCCACTTCAATGGGAACGAAAAAAATATGGGGGTATTGTTAGACATTGGATATTTTTAGATCCTATATTAGATGTTAGTACATCAAATAGGAAATCTGAGCATGAATTTCACATGTGGTGTAACCATTCCAATAAGCCGATCATCATGGTCATAATTCATGATGCTTAAGTCATCTTAAGTCAAGTACATGGGCCCGGATCTCAGGGAAATTCATGAATCAAGCTGCCCAGTCGACTGGGTGTGCCCTTCTGATTCGGTGCTTTGGGAAGATTTTAGATAGCTGACCCATGCTGATGTGAAGTGGGCCAGTGACAGTGTTATTTTTTTTGGTGCAAATTCTGCAGATTGTACCTTTGGTAATTTGACATAGCTATGAAATTCATCACTTCTTTTGATAGGTATATAAATCGTGGTAAATCATGATTTTTATCATCCAATGGGCCATGGAAGCAACCAGTTCGCAAGCCTTTCTGCAGAGGGAATTCCTTCCAGAAACTCCGAGTTCCAGCCATGGTTTTCTCAGGAGATGCTCATGTTGAACGCGATCTGGCACAGACCTTCGAAACTGGTCAAACTGTGTGTTGCTTGGACGTGGCCCGCCATGAGGTGAACGTTGACTAAGAGAGATGACAGATGAGAGTGTCCGTTATGATTTGTCCAAAATGTTACATAGATTCATATAGATTCATATAGATTCATATAGAATATATTAGGTTATTATAGATTCAAAAGTGCTGACTTTGCAGAATTTCCTTTTTCTTTGTTCATAAAAAGGCCCCAAACATCGCTTTTTGTGGTGAGCTACCACTCTTTTTCCAGAGAGCCTGGTTGGGTTACCGGAAAGTCATTGATCTCATGGAAAATTCACGTGCGATAAAAACCATAGGAAAATGGTCAGTTTCTGGATGATTTGCCTTATAAAAGACCTAACCAAAAATGGATAAAATATGACTGGTTGGTGGTTTGGAACCATGGAATTTTATGACTTTCCATATATTTGGATTTTCATCACCCCAACTGACGAAGTCATATTTTTCAGAGGGGTAGGTTGAAACCACCAACCAGATCAGGTTGTTTCTCAGGGAAATCTCACATGTCAAAACCCGTGTGAGCTTCTGGACCTGATTCGAGGTTTCAATGTGAGCATCACCCAAGGCATGCCGAAGCTCGGTTTTGGCGTTTCTGTTTGGGGGAAAAACATTGCGGGAATGACACTGATGCTGTAAAGCCAATGGTAAAACATTCACTTAAATTCACCAGAAATGGGCGATATAAACCCTCCAAAACTGGTGGTGTATTATCCCCATTTCTAAATGTGTTAAACTGTTAAACCATCCAAGTGTGACAAAAACATAATATTAAAAACCAGCAGCGGAGAAGAGAAAACTCTCCGATATTGGCATCATTGAAGTTAACCTGGACACAGCTGAATAATTTTTCAGAGTGATCAAGACTTCTTAAGTTGTTGACCTGTCATTCCGAGTTCCGAGCTTTATTGGGAAAAAAAAAACTTATTTTTTCCGGTCATTGACCACTGATCCAGTGAATCCAGTGGGCAGATCCAGCACTCAGGATGGTCACCGAAATGTCTGCGTGCCTACCTGACTGGCACCCCACTCCCAGCGATGTCCCTTTGGAGATCGAAACAGCGGAAAGTGTCGAGCCACTTCAGGCCCTGCGGGCGCTGGAATGATGCGAGGTCTCTGGATGTCCCTGTTGGTATTTTTTGGGGGTTATACTGTGTTATACTACCCAATCATAATCATTCACATCCCTGATGTTTGTGATCTACCTTGATTTATCAAGATTTATATTATAGCTGTTTTTTACAAACTGACATGCGGTAAGCGATGCATCGGCGGCAAGGAGAGAGACCTTTCGTGCCATGAATGAAATCAATGATGACATGCTGTAAACCATCATAAACCCACTTGGGGCGTATGCACTCGGGTAGGCCGGTAGGCCCTCTAGTAATTAGTATTTGCGATGGGATGCCGATAATAATCCAATGATGCCAATCCATATTATCGACAATAACAATGATAGCAAAACACATCATTGTATCATAATATAATAACATATCTTTATGTAGTGGCCCTCAAAAAAAAGCTAGAACAGGATTTCATCATATTTCATCATATTTCATCATATTTCATCACTTTTTCATCACTTTTTCATCACTTTTTCATCACTTTTTCCCCCAATTCGACCATCTTGGACCATCTTGGGCCTCACTTTTTTGGAGGCCTTGGATCCGGAAGAGCCCCAGCAGTGCCACGACGAGCCTTCGGAGCCCGTGGAGCCCTTGGAGCCTTCGGAGGTTTCGCAGCTCGTGGCGCCTGTGGAGCCGGAGCCTTCGACCGGCGACGAGTGGAACCAGTGGAACCAGTGGAACCAGGGCAGGGACGACTGGAAGAAGTGGAGCGACTGGAAGGTGCGGTGGCTTTTCGGATTTTTTTGGGAGAAGATGGGAGAAGAGGGGTACAAACATAAGTTATCATAAGGATTAGAATATATTTGAATATATTTGAATATGGGACATGCAACAAAACAATACACACATGGTTGTTTTGTTGATAATTTTTCGGTCCGCTTTTCGACAGGCGAATTTTGAATGATTGGTATGATATTTATTTTCAGCAGAAATATCCCGTCACAGGACTGGTCGCCAGACTGGTCGTCCTGGCCGTCAGACTGGTCGTGGCACGCCGAAGGAGCGGGACAAGGTGACTCAGCGAACCTGTTCGCTGGAGATTTTAGTTGGAAATTGCTGTTCAATTTGGAAACAGATGGAACAATCATGAAAAATCACCAGGTTTTACCAGATTTTACCATCTCAATGTTGGGCAAAAACGATGCTTTCCCTAGATTTGACCGTTGGTGGCTTGTGAGCCCTCCAAAAACAAGGGGATGCCGAAGATGGAGTGATATTTACGGCCAGTTGGCCTTGGTAGATTGGAGTTTTTACTACTGTACCCCTGTCATCAAACATAGCTGGAAAATTGAAGTATATGACAGATTTTCCTCGGATAACCATGTTTGATAACCAGTGATCAATTGTCCATGGTGATTTTAAGCCATGAACAACTTGAACAGTAACAGTTAGAACAGTTAGGTAGTGGTTCAAATTTGGAGACAACTCAGAAAAATGGTGACAAAAAATTGGTTGAATTCTGGGTTTTATAATGGATATATCATATATAATAGATAATTATATCATGATCTATAGATTATGGGATTTACGAAGCAACTTAGCCTCTGTAATCACACATAGTTTGCTGGAAAGCCTCCATTGAGTCCGTGGATGCTATCATCGCCAGGTTTCATCCCATGAAATTCCATTTTTTTTCAATCAATATACCCTCCGGTAAACTAACATAACTTTGGGAAATCGCAATTTTTCATGGGAAAACTCACTATAAATGGTGATTTTCCATAGTTATGTTAGTTTACCAGAGGGTAATCAATATAAGAATTAAGCAGATATTAACGGCTCAAATATGTTTAAATTCCATATATATATATATGTAAATCCCATGAAACGCATTGAACATATGATTTTTTGACCCATCTCCATCTGTGAAAATCTTCGAACATGTATCTGGTCAGGCGAAAGGTTGGGAAAGAAAGCCACAGGACTCTTGGTTCTGAGATGCTTGGGACTTCCCCCATGGAAATGGGGGAGACTTCCCCCACGGAATGGCGATTTAGTGAGGAAAATATGGGAAGTTGATGATCAACGGTCAAAAAAATGCTGTTCTTTCCCCCAAAAATTGAGACAAACCCATGGTACAATGTTTTTTGTAAGTTTTGGTGTCAACATGTTATAGTCGTATGAGTCATAACCATCAAGCGCGGATTTGTTTGGCAGGGAGATTATCAATGATATCAATGATATCCCAAAGTTTTCGCTGGTTTGGCCACTTGACATTTGGTTTGGTTAAGCCGTTCAGCTAAATTGCCAGAATCCAACATGTCACCAGACAGAAAGATGGATCTTCAAGCGTGACCAGCCGTAGCAGCTTTCTCTGAAGCCCAGGAGTGATCAAGTCCTTCAATGAGAGAGCCACAGCTGAAATTAGATTGACTTCAAAGTGGTAAGGGAAGTGGATATTTTGCCGTGGCCAAACACATCTTGTTGTTAAACAGAAATATGATTATAAATTCAACAGGATGCAACACACATATACCAATAATATAATAGTATATAATATTATACATACTGAAATGGCCAATTAATTGTGATTTTCCCACATTCTTTAGGGAATTTCTGGAAATCTGCATTTGATTACTCAGCTGGTCATGGGAAGATGTTTCAGCAGACACTCGAAGAAATTCCCCCGGACCTCCACAGAAATCCGGATTATCTGAAGTAAAAATGAAAGTTTCATGTAAGTTTATGGAAATTTATGGAAATTACACTTTCATTTAAGTATCATGAAATGGCCAATTAATTGTGTTTTTTCCCACATCATGATCGGAAATTTATGGAAGTTTGGATGATGATTTCATGGCAAAAATTCATGGCCCATCACTTTTTTGGTGGGTCATTTTGCTCCAGGAACCAACTACGGCTTCATTGAGTGCAAAGCCTGGGTCCCCAGAGGTCCCCAGACATGCCATGCCACGGCACGGTGAGATTTTCACGGATGGCATGGCAGAGACCAATGGACCAATGACGGATCCTAACGGTGCTGGTAGAAAAATGCTAACATAAAGGGGGTATATTAATGGGATCCATGGCACACCATTTTTGTAGCAGCACCGTTAGGATCCGCCATGGGAATGATGGGATCGAACATGGCTTTTAGACACCAATGATCACAGCCATCCAAAATCATCCAAACTGAAAAATCTTCAAAATCATCGCCACAATCATCTGAAAAATCACAGAGAGAGAGAGATTTTAATCATGGACTTTCAAGTTAGTTTGACAAAAAACACGGGGATTTTACAGGAAAATCCCTTGAGCCTGGAGAATGCCACTTCATTTTAAGGAGCTTGCTGACATCTATGGCCGCGACACCTTTGTGCATGGCAACTGGGCGCGGGGTATGCTGGAGGGGACAGGTGGAATAGGAGTAGGCCATCTGAGTCCAAGTGATAGGTCTTTGAAGATGCGGGGAAACATGGCTCTACTTTGAGATAGTTTGAGCTATGAGAATTTTTCGTGGAAAATCGGCGTATGAATGAATATGGATGAATGTATATAACCCATAGGATCCATGTATGGTATAATGCCAACACCGGATTAATAACCCCCCCCCTAGAAGGTAGGAGGTACCTTCTGGCGAGTTTTCTTGACTACCCGTAAATAAACGGCCCTGAACCATAAAATTCTGAACCATAAAACTTTGGATATGGCTTACGTCAATTAGATCTTAATAGAATTCCATTGGATTTGTTAAAATTTCATGGATCAGAAAGGTGGTTGATTAATCAGGGGCAAACCATGGTTATTATTAATGGGGGACATGGGCTCATGGGGGGTACCCTTTGGGAGCTATCCAAACTGATGTTTTTTTATAAAGATTTTAATTAGAAATCGATCATTTGGGGAATAGTTGTTTTTTGAAATTTTCAATGATCAACTTAAACCTGAAGTATAACAATGATGAGTAAAAAAATGTAAAAAACAATTGGAAATAAATAGAATTGGAAATAAAAAATGTTGGATAAACAATTGGATTTCAGCACTGGTGGTTGATTAATCGGGGGTAGGCCCACCGGTTTATTAATCTCGGGGGACCACCTGTTTTTAAATTACATTTTTTTTTTTGGGCAATGGTGGTTGATTAATCGGGAGGGGATTATTAATCCTCACTTGACATTATATGCTAACATAAAGGGGGTATATTGATGGTAAATGTTACCATATATAGCATACATGGATCCTATGGGGTATATAAGTGGATAGTGGGGGGCTTGGGAGTTCGTTTCTTCGAATTTATTCATCTAAAAGCCGTTGGTTTTGAAAACCGGACGGGCGCTTAAATCTTTTAATCGACTGTGGGATGTCTGGACCATGATTGGCAACCTTCGTTGGAATTTCCTTAAAAAAAAACAGGATTCTGAACATACTTTCCGCACATTTAAGGAAGTTGAGTCCGAATATGTCCGAATGTTTCCCAACAAAAAAAAGATTCCGCCAAAAACTCGCTTGAGGCAAGGAGTTTCAGGGCCACTATGTCGGAGAGAAAGTGAGCTTCACTGTTTACCTGGGTCCTAGGGGCCAGCCACAAGCATTCAACGTTCCTTGGACGGCTGGACATTTTGGGAAGGGGGCGGAATTTCTGGAAGTTTGAAGCTCTCCAGGATTTTTCGTCATGTGGAACCCATGTGGAACCCCATATTGAATCCATGAGTTTAACTTTGGCTCACAAGTTGCACCGGCCTGAAACCGGAAAAAAAACGGGTCATTTTGGGTCAGTTTCGTTCTCATTCGGAATTTTGCAATATTTAGTTGCAACATGTTGCAACCCTTGTATAAATGGAAAACCCAGTGATTTTTGGATATTTTATTCCTGTAGGAATTCGATCATGGCCATGCGTAATCTTTAGAGTTGGAGGGCCCCGAGGTAATTGTCAATCGTCTGCCAGGTCGAAAAAATCCGGGAGAAAAAGCACTGGGACAAACCCAAAGCCTCAGGCGTACCGAGCTGTTCCGTTTTGTGAAGATTTTTTTCGGAAAACCCTGCCATGTCCAAAGCAAAAAATGCACAGATGATCACAACTGGTTGGTGGTTTGGAACATTAATTTTATTTTTCCATGTATTGGGAACAATCATCCCATTTGACGAACTCATATTTTTGAGAGGGGTAGGTCAACCACCAACCAGTATTATTGGCATTATAACCACTATTATTATATATATTAATATATAATTCCATTATTGATGATTATCCCATGATAATCCCATTATATAATCCCATTGTTTTTCAGAGGGGTTAGCAGCAACCACCAACCAGACAAAAATGACCTGATAAATTTGGAGAAATTTGGGGTCCCCATAGTCCCCATCTCCAGTTCTCTGGGGACTTTACGGAAGCCATACCGAATCAGGTGCCGTTTTTAAAGCAACAGGAACGACTATCCCAAGTATCTCAACTATGCCATAATCTATCCCAACTCATGTGGTTAAAACAATGCCATACACCACTCCATGTTTGATGGTTTATACCACCCATAAACATGGTGATTTTGGGGATGGTTTATTATTGTTTTAACCCAACCATATCTCCCCAAAAAAAACATGTGGGGAGGTCGCTGGGATGTCAAGCCAGGTGCGAAACGAAAGGACCGTTCTTGCGGGGAGGAGAAGACCAAGAACTCCTTCCTGCTGGGCATAGTGACCAGCTATTTTCCAGCCACTTTGAGGTGAAAACAGTGAAATACTGGGAAATATTGAGATTCAATGGGGAAAAAGAAAAAAGAATATATATATATATATAGATTGTATATATATATATATATATTATAGATTATATAGATTATATATATATTATATAGATTATATATATATGCATATATAATCATATACAATCATACATATGTGTATATATATATATTGGATTAATGGGATATGGCATGATATACCCAAACAACTCGAAGATGCCATTGGGGTCTTGTTTGTCATCAGCAGGGCGAAGCCATGACCCATTGAGTTCATTGATTTACCTATTAAACATGGTGATTTCCAGTTCGCAACCAGTTAGTTTGCCAGAGGGTATCATTTTTATTGGAATAACTATATATTATCAGTTATATCTACATATATCTACCATAAACCACTTATATCATCCTGTAGATATAACATTTTTCTACATGTCACTGATGGTTGACCGGCCTTCGGCCTCAGGAGAGGGGTTGTGGCTTCATTGTGCCTCGGCTTTGCTGGAAAATATCATCTGCGAAACCAACACAGCTTGGATTACCTCTTAAAAATGGTGATTTTCCATCGTTTTTAGAATCGGTTTTGCATGTTTACCAAAGGGTGTCCTAGAAAATGTCATGGTGATCATGATTTTCGTCCCTAAAACTGCAAATATCTCCAGTTGAGACATGTTGAAAACATGAGTTTTTCCCAATGTCTGACATGATTTTCATGGCTGTGACGGCTGTGACTTGGGGATACTTGGGCTATATCCGCTCATATTTGGACGAAACCAGATTGCATTTTGGCTTGCCTCAGGGTGTGCTGGATGTCTTTCTCACCTGAGGAGTGTGATGAAGTCAGAAGAAAATATGGGTGACTCGGACTATCGAGCACTTTGAGCCGCGGCTTTCATGATGGAATTCTGGTGTGAAGCCAATGCGACCATCATAGACCAATTAGGGATGGTGTTTTGTTTGTTCCCAAACATGTTCCCTACCAGCCATGTTTCCATGTTTGGTGAGTCGGGGTGACAAATGGATGACATAAAAAATGGTGTTCAGGCGCCTGGATGTTGGGCCGGGATCCAACATGATTTCAATGCCGAGCTCTTAGGCGGCCCCTTTCTCAATTCCTCGACTTGCCAGTGGGTTGTAGACATTTATGGCACTGATCACTGGTTATTTAACATAGCCATGGTATAGATGGCCCATAGAAATAGATGGTTTGCCTATTAATAGCATAGTGATTTTCCATGGCGAACTGTTAAATAACCAGAGGGTATATGGCACTGATCACTGGGTGTTTTCCATCACCTTCACTTAGAATCACTTAGAATCACTGAGGACCTAGGATGACCATGGCGCGTTCCATAGAGCAATGTCCGCCCCTGTCATGGTAGTGGCAAACGCTGCGAATGCTTTGAGTAGACGTGGCGTAGGCCCAGCCAAACAAACTCGCTCAAAGAAATAATCCAACAATCCAATGGAGATGTTATCCTTAGTCATGGTTATTACATCTTATAACTTGCTTAAATTACCACCTACAGTGACCTACAGCCCCCCCCCAAAAAAAACTGATGGCATTTGTGTTAAAAAAGTTGACAAACCCAGCGAATCGCCGATGTCCCAGGCAAGAAGTCTACGTCTTTAAAGATGTTCTGGCAGACAGCCTGGCAGGACCAGGTTCTTCCCCCGAGCATCCGTTGAACCATGTTGAACCGCAACGGGCAGTGTGTTAAGGGGTCCCCCGGGGTGGCTGGTTGTGGTGGAAAAAACCATGGGGATCTTCGGTATATTTATAGCTACCATCTGATGATTTAACATAGCGAACTGGAAAATCCATGAAATAAATGGAGGTTTGTAGCTGGGAAAGTCATTTGTAAATGGGCAATTTTCCATAGCTATGTTAAATTACCAGAGGCTAACCATAGTAATACAAGGCCACAATCTGGGATAGCTTTCGATCGCCATTTTCTGCACCGTTGTTCAAAGGGGAGTGACCAAGTTCTCCAAGCCCATGGTTATACCCCCACTTTTCAGTGGATGGTGACGCTGATGCACTTGGTCACCAAAGAATATGGGTTGATAAGGCAGGCTTACAGGTGAAGCTGTGTAGATTGCTAAGTTGACGCACATAACTTGGTTAACTGGTTAACTATGGTTTATGGGGGATACATGATATCACTATAGTCAACCATCTTGTAAACCAACAAATTTAACTGGAGCGCCTCGCCTTGCACCGTGGCACCATGTGATTTTATTCCGAAGGAGTCACTCCTAGCTGTTTTTTGTGGGCCAACTTTTGTTGTGAGTTTTCTGCAGGTGACTTGGTTGCCTTCTACTTGCACCTTTCAAAGCAAAAGAAAGCGCAAGCTTCGCATCCAATGCTGCGTTTGAAGACAGGTGCAGTGATCTGTTGGAAAACGATGAGAAGATTCAACGATTTTCCATCGTTTTCCAACGTTTAGCTCCAGCGGGCTTGGGAAACAATCTCCGCTGGGAAAGCTTTGTTGGGTATGGTCGGGTAATGTCGGGTAGGTTGGGTCATGTTGGGTCATTTTATGGTGGAATTTTATGGTGGAATCATTTTATGATTTTCCCTTGGGTTTGCTGATGATTTCCATCGTTTTCCCTTCTGGGAAAATCCGGAAAAAAAAACATCTGAAAAATCGATGGTTTCCCCATGTTTCCCCAGAAATCATGGGGGAAAAAAGTTCACGACTCCTCTGCCAATGCCACAGCTTGAAATGTGCTCCAATGCCATGTTGGCAACCTTAGTGTGGTTGGTAAAACCATGGAAAACCTCAACTTTTTTATCAACGATGTTTTTTTTCAGTCAGAAACCTTCAGAATCTGGGTTTACTTCATGGGCAGTTTTGATGTTTACCACACGACTCCCGGCTCATCATGTCCTTGTTGCAGGAACCGCGGGAACCTTTGCGTTGATACTTGGCCTCCCCTGCCCTGTTTAGGGTTCCGATGATAGGACTACAGACATCTACAGACTAATTACCTGTGACCACCCAGGAAAATCATGGAATCATCCAAACAAGTTGCATGTGGAAAATTGCAACGTTAATGATTCCAACTTTTTCATGATGATTGCATGAGTTTTTGGATAAAATATCATGTCGTTTCTTCCTTGTTTTAGGTTTTACTGTACATATCTGTACATGTTTTGCACGGCGCACCATGAAAGGAGCTGCACCCTGAATTAGTTTGGATCCAGTTGCGGATCTTTAGCCCTTCATCCTGGGACATGTGTACATGTGTAACACCTGAGCTTTGCGAGGTTTGAAAAACACCTGAGCTTCGCGAATATAGGTCGTATATATACCTCCGGAAATCAAACATGGCTAATTGGTTTCTCCGGAAACACATGGAGGGTATGGGAAAATCATCGAATCAAAGCCGGAAACCGCAAGCCACTTTTAGACTACTGGATGGTACCCGGCAAAAGATATGGATGTTTCAAGCTAGCTCCTTAAAAAAAAAAAACATCACCCACTTTGAAAGTCCAAATCCCTCATTTCCGACCGCCAACTTCCTGCATTCTGTCCATCTAAGGAAGGGTCGATTTGAAGCCGTCGCTAAGGGCGTCACGCAGATTCATTGCCCAGAGACCCTGAATTTCTTTGGATCTCCAGCACCTCATCAACACAGGATGACGTTTTTCCAATGATTCTCCTGTGTTGTCCCCTTCATGGCCCATCATGGCCCTATGTATTTCATATTATTTCATCATATTTCCCCCCTTCTCCCCATGTTTTTTCTTCTGATGATGTTTGACCTGCAGAACAAAATGGCAGTTATTTCGCAGCTGTTTTCCTGTTTCTCACTATGCAAATTTCGATCTTCGAATCCCTTTGATGAGTTTCCTTGAGTCCCGGATTGAGTAGGACAATTTCCAGGAAAGCTCTGACCAAATTTGGGGCTAAAAAATCTAAAAACATTTTTCAACACCAGATAAGACTGAATAAGACCAGATGAAACTGGATTAACCTAGATTCGACACCTTGATCACCTTGATTTTTGGGGAGGAAAAAACCATTAAAAAAACCCGAGGTTTTTTGAATCAGATGATCCCTACTCCATTCCTAGGTGAGGGTCAACCAACGGCTGGGCTCCAAATTAGAAGCTGGATCCGCTGTCTCCTTCAACGTCACGGTCAGTGATCAGGGCTATCCACTTGCGCCCCGGATAAAAAAATTGCCAATGGAAAATTCACATCATTTCTAGCCATAATTTCCCTACCCCCCTTGAACAATCCCATCCCCTTACAGTAAATAATAATACTAAAACATATTAAACCGCCCATGTCCTATGGTCCCAATGATGTGCAAATCCCCCACTAAAGGCATGGTCTGTGGGGGGGGTGTCAAAAAAATGAACGGGTGATGGGATTTCAAAATACGTCCCTAGAATCCTAGAGTCCTATAGATACCCTTGTTGTTTGTCTTGGATCTGTTCAGGGCTTCACGGCCCCAAAAAAGGGGCCTCCATAGACGGGAGAATTGGGATTGGATCATCATTGGAAGAGTTTCCTTTTTGCAACTGCAAGCTTTTTGTCAAGATCAGGACCTTTTTGTCAACTAGCGACGTAAATTCTTAGGTGCCAGCTCAACTTCATTTTAGAACCCCATTCAGATACTCAACCATTCAGATACTCAACCATTCAGATATACATATTATATATTATATATATGTATGTGTGTATGTGTATGTACATGTGATATACATATATAAATTCTGCTATATTTTTTGATGATAACATCTAATAAAAGCTTTTTGTCCTATCCATCTTCCTGTTGGGAACCCGGTACGCCCCCCATTTTTGAAGCCTCGACCGAGGCTTACAATGCCGAGCCTTGTGATGACCAATGGCTCCCCACGGCGACACAGCTGACCTTGGCAACGGAGGCAACGGCTTGGGATGCTTGGAAAGCCAAGGACACTTGCCATGGAATCTGGGTTTATGGATGATTTATGGGATATATACTGTGTATGTATATATATATAATATCTATATTATATATATACATATATACATATATAGTATATATATATACATGTATACTTGCCGCTGTGATTGGCGTGGAACCAAATCACCCTGGTAGCTGGCAATTTCCCAAATTGCAAGTAGTCAAAAATGATAGATGGTCCAACCTTCTATGTGATATTCAACCAGATACTGTAGAGGGGCCCTGCCACACTCCCAAACCGCAGCTGCACCGCAAATGTTTCCCCGAAACACTATGGCTTTCGCACCGATGGTGTCCAACACCAAAATGCCGCAACCACAACCCTCCGCTGGTGCTTGGGCAGTCATGGGACCGGCATGCAAGGCAAGTCACATCAAGGTAGGCATGGATACATGCATGAAAGTTCACACTCCTCTAAAATTCTTTTGATGTGACTTTCGACTGATTGAAGGCTCCATTCTGTTTTTCTCGGATCCATTGAACAGCTTGCTTGCGATGAGCATTTCGCTCCAAGGATTCATTTTCATCGAAAAGTTGAAAGCAACCAGAAGACAAAACTTGTCGCAGTAAAATTGGGTCCATAGGTTTGGTTAAAGCATCAGCCACCTGTAACGAAGTCGGAATCCACCTGAAATGACAGTGCTCTTGACACCGTTCCTTGATGAGCAAAACTTCAAGGGTCCTCCTAAACTCTTCACATGATGGCATGGCGGTTCTGCTAACCAAATCAAACAAACTTTTGCAATCTGTGACAATCGTTGCCTTTGGAAGAGACCTGAATCCACGGAGAGGATCGCGCCAGTCAAACTGAGCAATGTGAATGGTTCCCCATAACAGTCGCATCCAGCCTAAACGATCTACGCTTGCAGACATTGAGTATGCTTCAGCGGACAATGTCGAACGAACCACACGTGAAATCTTTTTGGATGTCCAGGTCAAGGGACTGATGGGTGCTTTCTTATTAAGATCCAGTTCATGATTCGTTGCGCAAATCAAGGTTCCTTGAAAAGAGGACAATTGTTTCGCACTTGCAAACGAGGCATCTCCAAAACTTACGTGAGTCAACTGGTTCACAGGAATGCTTCTGAAGCATATCTTTACGTGACTATGTTCCTGAGCCTCTCTCAAAACTTTGTTTGCCAACAGAAGAGTCTGGACTGTGGCCCTTGCAACGGAAACTTGGACTTCGCCAAGCTTCGCAGCGAGATCTGGCCGGGTATGAGACACTGCGTATTGAAGACTTCCGATCAGGCCACGGAGTTTGTTCAGCTCAATGTCATTGATGGAAGCATCCGGTGTTGCTCGACGGGATTTTCCAACATCAATGGCAGGGATATTCTTCACGTATTCTTCTTGGGAGGCCATGATACTGAAGTCCGGCAATTGTTCAAGGTGTATCCCGGTGAAAACGAACGCTGCTTGAAGGATCCAAAGGGCAAAGCTTTCTTCAAGGCATCAAGTTGGGCATAGAAATACGAGTCACCACCACATACGCCATCATCAACATGGGTACCAATGATGCCATGCAGGGTACGTTGGTTACCTTGAGTAGTTTCAAGTAGATAGATACATGGTTCAAGTGGGTGTTTTGTGAAATGGAGCTTATCAAGTTGTTTTGAAAATTCCTTGTAGAATAACAACGGAGCATCAACCCTTCCATAGGCATTTCCAACCAAGGCACAAACTTGATCGGTAGTGAGACCTAGTTTTTGACGCAACTCCGGTGGAGGCTCCATGGCCAATGGATTGTCTTTGTCAGACTGGCCACGCAGGAAGGCTGTCTTAATGTCAAATGACGACAGATCCCATTTTTGGCTGGCAATTGTCTGCAGAACGGTATTTCTTCCTTCTCGAGTCAAGGTTGGAGAATCACGTGCAACCTCACAAAGCTTTGGATCTTGAAAACCTAGAACCACTAAACGAGCTTTTGCCTTTCGCTGGGGCTTGGTGCTGTCTTCCTCGTTGATTGCCTTCCAAGTCAGAATCCAGCGACTTCGGAGGATTTGTTCAGGGTTCAACTTTCTTCGTAGGATAGGCTTTAAGGCACTAGTTTGAATCCAACAATTAAGTTCTGCGTCCTTTGCCTTTTCAAACAGGATCTTTTCTTCAAGGCTAAGGTTCTTGACACTCACCTCGGCACGAGCCCTCTTACACACATTGGCCACCCACGCCATTTCTTCGGGTTTTGCTGAAGATGACCATTTCTGAACATCATGATCACTGATGTCAACAGACAAAGCAAAACACTGTTGTTCTTCACATTCAAGAGGTTGTTGAATCCTTGGCATGTCATCCTCAGCAAGGAGAATCTGATCACTCGGTGAGTCAGTTGCCTCTCCAAGTTCCAGCATGGTAACTTCATAGAGCGGTTCACAACTGACTTCAGACGTCAGGGCATGGCAGTGGAGGATGGGCAATATGTCCATTGCGGAAAGCGTGGCATCACTAGCATTGTTCTCAGCATCCAGGTCAATCATTTCAGGTGGATTTGGTGGAACATCAGGGATCTCAGAGTTTTCCGGTGATAGGTCTTGGGAAAGTTCAGGAAACGTTTCACTTTCAGGTTGGATAGAGGAATGCGGGGTACTGGATTGATTGGGAATGGCAATGACGGGTTCAGGCATAATGCTGGGTTCATAGTCTGTGGCATTGTCAGGACTATTGGGTAAGGCAAGATTAGGGGTTTTTGGATTAAGTTCAGGAATCCATGATTGGGCTTTTTCACTGTGGGTATTCCATTCCCTCAGGGATGCGGGGCGAATGCTTTCTGGTGCACACTTGAAAAGTCGTTCAGCATGGGATAACCAAACGGCTGTTTGGCTTTCCTGTACAATGACTTTGGCCGGTCCATGCCATCGGCCTGCTTCTTGCCGGCTGGCTTTGGGTCGCTTAACCCAGTACATCACTAATTGTCCAGGTTCAAAAGGACCTCGGACGGGACAGGATCTGCGAAGCAAGGCACGTCGGATGGCTTGATCATTGTCGGTGATCAGAAAGGCCTTTTTGGCCCGTGTGCGAACTTCCAAAATTTTTCGAAAGGATTCACTCTCGGTATCCTCTCCTAAAGCAAGGTCATGTGCTATTGCGTTCTCATCAGATGATAGGCTAGCAGGAATCTTCTGAGATTTTCCAAGGACAATCTGTTCAGGGGAGAATCCCTTTTGTCGCATGAGTGAATTCTTAGCTTGAAAGCACGCCAACAGTGTTCGGTCAAAGTCTTGCAAATTTTCTATTGGATTTTCAAGGTCACAACGGGTGAGCATACGCTTGATGATCTGGCCATGTCTCTCAACACGTCCTCGCTGCCAAGCTTCAGTTGCAATCAACAGTTGAATGGACTTTGAAGTCATCAGTTCTTTCCACTTGTCAGAGATAAATTCTCCGGCAGGATCGGTGTAGACTTGGTCAGGATCACCAGCCCACGATGTCCAAAAGTTGGACCAAGTATCAATTACCTGATCAGTGTTTCGGGTCTCACAGCGCCTGCCGAGATGAAACAATGAGGATTCATCAATGCAGTGAAAAACATGGACACGAAAACCTTTGGAACCGGACCAATAAAATCCATCTATTCCTACTAGATCATTGAAGTCTCGAGGCTCATGAAGTTTGGCAGGTCGCTGGTGTTTCCGACCTACTGATTCAACACAAGCATCACAAACGTACTCACGTGCTGCTTCGACCACATGTGGAGCGGCCTGATGTGTCTTCAAGTGTTCAGCCAGCACATTGGGATCAGGATGACCAAGATTCAAGTGCAGTTTTCTCAGATCCGCTTTTTCAACTTCACTTAGGTTTCTAAATTTGGGTCCATGGATGGCTATTGGAGGAGGGGCCCATCCCTCACAAATCTCGTTTTGGCCGATCTTGGAGGCACTTCTCACAGCATCCGCAGGATTGTCAGGACAGGGTGCCCCGTCACTCACTGGTGGAGCAGCTTTGTTGTCTGGCTCAGGCATTGGGTGCTCACTAGAAATCTTTTCTTCAGAGAAAACTCTTGGTGAGCCAAAACATGTGATCATGAGTTTGGAGGGAACAGCATTCCTTATTCTACAACTGCGCTTAAGGGTCACCCATTCTTCACTTCCAAAGTCATGAATTTCACCTGTACTACGGTGAAGGCTTACCGTGTGACGTATGGTGTTCACTTGTCGGTCTGGAAGGTTCACTGGCAGTTGCATTCGTTCAGTTCCTCTACACACAAAAATCACCTGAAGATTCATAAGTGGCACCAGAACTTGTACCTGAGCAAACACCGCATGACTCGCATCAACCAAGAGATTGCCTACACGTGGAGCGATACCTTCCATGCTTTGGAAGATGGCTCTCCAGGCTTCATTCGCAGGTGGAACTGAGGATGATTTTTTGGGATTCCTCAGCTGGGCATTTTCTTGGGCATCGCTTGCTACGGCTGGCAAATCATGTGTATGAAACTGTCGTTGATTGTCATCAAGTTGGGACTCCTGAGGTGGAGATCCATTGCCTACCTCTTCACTTGGTTGGTTGAGAGAGGGCACATTTGAGGCTGTCGTTGGTACACTAGGATTGGATGCATTTGCATCAAGGTCAATCACATGTGATGACTTGAAACGCTTCAGAGGATTGTTGGTAAATCGGCTTCTCTTTGCGGGAGGTTCATCGTCATGTTCACCCACCATAAGTTCATGTTGCATGTTTTGAATCATCCATCGGGCTATCTTATGGACAAATCCAGAACAATATGTTGCACAGAACCTGGTCAACGGCAAGCGGCGTCCATTCACATTGACACTTCCTTCGATCGGCTGATGCATGTGTCGGTGATCACACCTCGAGGCCTGCAACTTCAAAACCATTGAGGGATCTGTGGTAAACACTTGACTGGACTTACGAAGAAATCTGCGACTGATGGGATGCTTTAAACCAAACATGCACATGTCAAAACTGGCTCTTTCGGTGGCTTCTCGAATGGCTTGGAATGCAGGCAAT